ATGACAGTGGTGACGGTTACGGTGGTGGTGACAGGGCTAGTGAAGGGGTTTGAGGGTGGAGTTAATTTGGTCAGTTGCATCATATGTCCTTTCTAAATCGTCACTGAGGCAAATTGAAGTGGAGAATTTTTTTTTTAATATTTTTGTTGCCCGACCCGGGCTTTTGTCGTTAGTAGCACACATTCATACTGGGTTAGGACACTATATACACGGCAGTGGTACGAAGCGTTTTCGGCACCCGCTACGCGGGACAGCCTTGACCGCACGCTTCCTGTCACGCACCCCAGGTGGCACCGCACTGGTGCGCACGCTGGGGCTATCCCGATTTCTCGGGCCCGGCAGGTCAGAGGGCTGCTCCGGGACATGAAGCGAGGCCGTGCCCTCGGGACATGTCACCGGACCGAAGGATCTGTTTAAAGGCGGATCAGGCCCGTGTACCTGCGGCCGGGGGCGCTGGCTGGCACAGCGGTAATCCCCACGACCGAGCGAACACTCCCCAGTTACTGCCATCTCCTGGGTAGGAGCCGGCCGAGGAAAACGCTGCCAGAGGTCAGCTTTGATCCAAGGACCTCCCACACCAAACGTGAACGCACTTGCCAACTGCGCCACAAGGGTGGTTTGAAGTGGAGAATTAGCTGAAGTACCCCGAAGCCTCATTCTAATCGTGTCAAAAATGTCGACACCAGCAATTAGGCACAAGCAAGGCATGAGCAAGTTCCTAAGCCTGGCAGTAAGCCTCACAACCTGACGGACCATCCACATCCCTGCTCTTTGCCCTGTCACCATGCTCTCATCTCAGCCCGCTGCGCTCTGCTCTCTCGACCGCGCGACTCGGCTGCGATGATCCGCTCAACTGGCTCGATCGGACGGCATGACGTGCACCCGACGGAGCCTCAGCGTACTACGCCACGGCCGGTGCCGGCGGCTCTAACGGTCGTCCGCCGCCTCTGCCGCCGCCGGCCCGGGCCGCCGACCGCCGACTGTGCATGGCCCGCCTGCCAACGACAAATGGTGCACGAACTGCGCAGTTTGAGAGACATGAACGAGGGGCGCACTGGGGGCGTCGGCGTCTTCTGCTGACTTTGTTTTTGAATGAGGACGGTCGGGAAGCTCATTTTAGTTTCTACTATTTTGGTCCTAATTGAAAGTGGGTTAACGCGACTGTAAAGACTGCCGCACTCTCACTCTGTAAATTAACCACCACATCCACAATTCATCCTGCTGCCGCCCGCCCACCCGTCCTTTCAGTGCCGTATATGGTCTACCCGTTCTATTCGTCCCTTCACCGGGCTCAGCCGGCGGCGGCTGTCCTCGCCGCGTGCGCGTGACAGCGTGTCCTGTCGTGTCACCTGATGTGTATCTCGCGGCCGGCACGTGCCATCGCTCTACCCGTCCTGGCACGTGCCGCCACGGGTATAGCTCGGGACGGGTGGGATTCGATACACGGGAGGACGGGGAGGCGGCCGCGGAAAACTCTGTGTGGGATGGAGCAGGACGGGCGGAGCGGCGGGCAGCCACCTCGCCGCGGGGCGCAGCGGCCGAGGGCGCGGCGCCGAGTGAGAAACGTGCGCGCCAGTCACGTGTCGCGGTGCCGCCCAGCCCCACGGTGAACGACACCGGTCACGTGGTCTCGGACGTTCACAGCGCTCCGGCTGGGTGGGAAGAACGGGGACGCTTCCCGCGAGCGCCGGGCGTCGTTAGATTGATATGCCTTAGAGCCAGACCGCTGTCGGAGAAAGGTAAAACTCCTCCGCTGCGCACTGCGCATGGCGGACCGGACGGCCGCGCAGCCCGGGACGTCGGGCGTGCAGTGCTGATTCAGCCGGGAGGGTTGGTGACCGCGGCCGGTTGCTCGCGGACGTAAGGCCCGCTCGACCGGTTATGCAGAGTGTGTGTACGCGGCGGAGTTTCGGCCCCACCGCAGCGGTTACGGTGGACTGAGCGGGCAGAGTCACTCGGCCGGCCCACCGCGGTGCATGAAAGGTCAAAGTCTACATGGGTGAGCAGGGAAGAAAAACAAAACCGGGCGACATGTGGCGCTGGAAAAAAACGAGGTTACGTAACGCAGTCACGCGTGGATGCATGTCGTATGTTGACGGACGAGTGTGCGGCGGGCGGCGAAATGTACCATGAGCACAGTGGTACCCGCGGGACTGTGTGTACCGGTACCCACACCACCCGCGCACGAAGGCTGGGAGCGCCGGGTCGCCGTCCGCCGCCGGTTACCGTTTTTGTGGCGACACCGGATAGTGGCGGCCGGGTAATCACGACCGGGCGATTTGAGAGATTGCTGGTCGTGGCTGACCCCGCCCCGGGATCCATAACGGCTGTCAGAGGCCGCGGGCGTCGCCGCAGTGCGCTGAACCTCCACTAAAACAGCCCCCGCTCGGGGACCAGAGGCCGGCCCGCGGCACTCATGGCACTGCCCCGCATCGGTGGTGGCATGGGGGCAGAGCTCAGGTGATTAATGTGAGGGACGGGTAGTTACCTGCGGCAGTCATGAATGACTCGCCTTTGTGTGGGGCTAATTATTCGTGGAAATGAAGTAAGTTACAGCTGGGTGTGCCGCGTTGTGTTATTGTGCATGATCTCCACATTTCGTGCAGCTGACGTAATGGTGTGGCTGACCGTGCAGTTCTGTGTTGAAATGTGTCCGTTTCGTGCACGGCACTGACTCAGGCCTGTGCCAATGCTCGGTGCTGTGTGCCTGATGTCCCGACCTGTGCCTATGTATCCCGTGTGCCCTGTGCTCCGCCCTATTCGCTCGCACAGTCCGTCCGCAGGTCACCCGGAGGAATGCCTTTGTCGCAGCGCGCGGCGGGTGCATTGTACCGCTCGCCCGCGCGTTTTCCCCAGCCAGGTTCTTCACCCCTTGTCGCCAAGCGGCCGGCCGGCTGCACGCTCAGTACCATGCATAACGGAGCCTTTATGAGCGTAATTGGCGGCATTGTTGCATGTCGGCCGGAGTTCCCGCCGGCTGTACCTGCGGCTAGTTCACACCACCCTGTCCTACCCCAGGCCCGGCCCCGCCTACATCACTACCCGTCTACTTGTTATCCATGTATTCCGTGGTTTGTGTGTATTCGTGACGTCACGACTTACACTGATGACGTCACCCTGACTGTAATTCTGTTTTGTTTTTCAGACGGCTGTGAGAGCGCAAACGGCGCCGTGGCGGCGAGTGGCGTCGACGCCACGAGGATTGCTTTCAACACGCTTGACTTTCTCGGCATCGGTGGCATGCACGTCCAGGCTAATTGTGAGCCCACCCAGGCCTAGGTAAGTATTGGCGACACGTGCGAGGTTCTACTGGGTACTGAAAGGGAGGAACAGGGACGTACTACTGGGGAGGGGGAGGGGGGCAGGGATAGGGGAGGGGTTGGTGCTGTACAATAAGGAGGAAAATTGAATGTTTATGGTGAGGACCAAGCTGTAAAGCAGACTTGCAAGGTGTGATTTGGCAGCGATAGCTCGGGGAAGCTGTCATGACCCACACTTTCTTTACTGGTTACCGTGCCGTTTGCAAAAGTTTCGAAGTGACCGCTGCATTAAACAATGAGCGATTTGGAAGTAAAATCGATAGCCCATCTGGCAAATTGGCCTCTGGGGAGCTGCAAAATCGGCTCGATTCGGTCCGGTTCGGTGAGTGTCGAGGTCGGCCGCCTGTCCAGTGCGCACGCGAACGGCGCGGCCCTGTGCGTTGCGCCGACCCAGTTGGGGGTAATGGCGCAGCGGCGGTACGGACAGCGACCTGGATATCATACACGCACCGCTGGTCGGACCGCTCGACGGAAGGCGGCCATATGGGCACAAAATGATGGCCCATGTCCGCTGGGCGGGCGCAGGCAATTCGGCTAATTTACGTGTTTGTAGTCTGTTGTGGGATTATGGTCTAACCTGTAAATTCCTGTGATTTAATATGGGCATTTCATTATTACAATATTGACTGGATGTAATTTGAAGATGGTGTAAGGCGTTGTATTTCGCTCAGTTTGTGCGTTATGTTCGTTTCCTGTGTTGAGTGGGTGGGCGGGATTTCGCGTCCCTCCGAGGTTTCTCTCTGAGATTTGTCGGTCAGCCGCGACCTTCAGCGCTCGCTGCTTTTGTGTGCCGAGCGGGCCGCTCGATCGCAGGTCGTTCGCCTGGCGGTCGGTTCCACCGCTAACGCAGGGTCAAGGTCGCGCCGACGCGCCTCACGCAGCGTCGGGCCCGGGCCGGGGAGGTGGTCGATCGTTCACGCACCTCAGCCGCTGCAGCGGTGGCGAATTGGGACCGACGCCAGCGGACGCCCGTTGCAACGATTGCCGCGCGCCGCCCGCCCCGCACCACCTGTGCCCACCGCTGACCGTGTTTCCCCTGTTTGCCGCAGCTGGGAGGAGGGCGCCAGCGTCGCGGCGCCGCGCTAGTCAGCGGTGGTCCGCGGCTGGCCGCGCCGCCTCGCCACTCTGGACTCAGTAGCACGTCGGCGGCGGCGATGTCACAAGGCTTCAGGACGTTGTTGTGCGAAAAATGAAATATGCGCCACCGGAGGGCATCAAGTACAAAGTGCGCCACAGCAGTAGAACGTCCGGCTCCCTCCGGTGATATGTTTGTGGGCGGTGCCCGTCCGGCGCGCCGGCGGCCCTCCTCTCGAGCCGCGTGCCAGCCCGGCCCGGCCCGGCCCGCCCGCACCGGGCCCGGCGCCAGTGGTGACCGCGCAGCGCCGCCATTGCCGGCGCGATTTAGAGGCCCGCTTTTGACGTTGATTTGCCGCCGGGGCGCCGCCGCGTCCGGCCGGCCCGCTGGTTGTGTGCTGATGTATAGCTTTATTTATTAGTCTCCTGGCGCTCAGCGCTCCAACTGGCTTGGTTCCGTGATACGACCAGTGCGTGATTTGACCGTCTGACGACTGCGCCCCGCTCCGGGGTGGTAGGGCCGCCCACGCGAGACTGCGCTCAGTATAGTATGTGTATGCCGTTGTAAATTATTTATTAACCTTTGTTCTGTTCCAAATTTCTCGGTGAATAAATCCCGTTTGTATTGGCTGTTTTGTGGGCACGGCTGCAGTGAGATCCGCGGGCGCGGGAGCGTTGCATGGACACGACCATACACCAGCACATCATTATACGTAACGATCAACCACCTGGTCGCCACAAACACTAAGTCATTTCACTTCACTCCCGTCACTATCGCACCACACCAGCCCCTCTGCAGGTCACAGCACCATGTTCTGTCACCTCCCTCCCTCACACCCCTCACATTCCCTCCCGTCCCTCCCTGTCCCGTTCTCGTTCCCTCTCGCGTTCCCTCATGATGGCCATGTCCCGTTCCAGTCCAACGGGAATACCGTTCCGGGCCTGGTCATTGGCTATTGCCGCGCGCACCTGCGGAAACAAGTGTCCCAGTTTGGCCACGTTGTTCTGCAGTACCAGTAACAAGTTGGTGGTGAAGCGACTCTCGAGCGGCGGGAACGAGCGGCTGGTCACGCCGTTGGCGTCCAGGGTGAAGGCGGCTGGCGTCGGCACTGTGTCCCGCATGTAGGCCCACACGTCCGTCAACAGCAGGTACACCTGAGGGAGGGGGAGGGGGCGTCAGCGAGGGTGTCGGGCCCATGGAGAGTACCAGGCTCGGTGCACCGTCAGATAACAGTGAGGCAAAACACACTCGTTCGGGACTCGCCGACTCTGTAAGCTGATGCGATGCCCGATTTCACCCCAGTGTGTCGAGAGAGGAAAAGTGGATGGCCGAGAAAACAGACGAAATTTACCTTTAAAATGTGACTGCACTCAGCAGAGTGTACCTAGGAACTATGAGGCATAAGAACATAGTTCACACAATTCACCATCAAAGGTCAAAGTACATTTCCTCGCAAAGGAAGTACCTGATAAACTGAAACAGTGCTGACCGAGGTCACACCAAACATCGCGGCGTTTGCAGTTCTCAACAACGGTGCATTGTTTGAAACAGGTGTTCATGCCATTGCATGGCCGTAGGCAACAAGCCGCCTATTGTTTCGTACTGCGACCCGCCGATGAGTCGACTAGGCAATGACAAGGTACAGGGTAAGTTCACACGTGTCGAAAGTTCAAAGGTGTGTTGAGTCGTCTTATCTCACAAGGGTTGTCCAAGTTGAACGAAGTTGTCATTTAGCTGATGCAACTCATTTTCGTGAAACAGATCATGTGTTGGATGGGGTTTTCAGACGTCAACATTCTGCGGAAATACGAAGAACTGGATGTCAAAATGCGACGCAAATGTCGCATCTGGTGTAACGATCGGTCGACACCATATTTCACAACCTATCCGACTACCAAACCAAGAACTACGTCCTGTTTCACGAATACCTGCACCACCGTGACAGATCAAGACATCACCACTGCTGGGAGCCTGAAACAGCGTCCGTACTCAGTTTCTACGTAAATCATATACGGCCCCGGCAACAACCAACCGGTGACACAAGACACTCAAGCATCAACATTCAACTTCCGGAGACTGCTTGTCCGTCCTGTTGTGCTAGTGCCAAATGTCAATTAACACACATAGCACCAAGCTCGAGATATGTTGACTATTACAGAATAGAGCATGCTGTCGCAAAATCCTCCCCCACATTGACCCGTAGGTCAGGATGTCAGCCTGGGCCCTATTGCACATTCAGGTAGAGCGAAACCACAAGTCACCAGTCTAAGAAGTGTCGCACGCAGCCAACACCGTCCAACACGGGGCGGCACGTGGGCTGAGGGTGGATGTAACACCATACGGGCCGTTTCCGCCGGCACCAGACTCGGCGTCGGTCAACCCCGCGCCGGTGACTCGGTGTTTACTGTCGCCTTCGGAACCGGTCCGGCGCCCGGCGACGAAGGCCGGGCAGTCGCCTTCTGTCGCCCCGGTGAGCGACCGAAGCGACGGTCAGCTGACTGGATGTCGGGTCATATCGGCGGCGATTGCTGAACGGTTGTCGGGTGCTCGGCAACATGCGAACCTAAACTGAGTATCTACCGGGAAGTTCAAACGGATGCTGCTAGGTTTGCTAAGAATGAGGAAGATACAAAACCCATAATGCATATGGATCAGCCACCACTATTTAAAGTATACAGATCACACTGTTGTTACTTTCAGAACCATGACGGTCTAACTAAAGCGAGACTGCTGCTAGCTTCATATAGCCCGTGTTACCAAGGGCGCTTTTTAGACCGAGCATCGGGTGAAAAGTAGCAAAAAAAAAAGCGAAACTCCAACAGCAGATGACTCAGCAGGTTGTCAGGAGTCACCTGAGGAATGACGGAACAAACGACCACCGTGTGTCGGCGGTCAGCCGTCCACAGCTGTTCCCCGGCCGCTCCGTCCGGCCCGGAGCCGACGGAGCACGGAGGAGCACACACTGGTCCGGAGCCGACGGAGCACGGAGCTGACGGAGCACACTGGTCCGGAGCCGAGGGAGCACGCTCCAGCGGAGCCAGGCAGCGCTCAGAGCCGTCCAGCCATGACTGTTACCGAGGATATATCGAGAGGCTGTTGCCACCCGCGCCGGGGAGCCATGCTCGCAGGTCCCGGCACGTCCTGCCGTGAGGTAAGACCGGCGGCACACACCCACATGGGTACAGGACGCAACCCGCACCCAGGGGCAGGATGGAACACGTTCTGGAGCTGCACTTTGTCCGGTGTGGGGCATAAAAATGGGACTCAGACTGGTATGTGCGGTCGTGAGTCGAGCGATTTCATGAGATGTGTGCTGCAGGTCAAAGCACGTCTCGGATTGACAAAAAGCGCCCGCAACCCTACCCAATCCAGACAGAGGATCCCCTGACGGATAATTCATTGAATAAATGAATTTCCCTCCCCACCCTGAACGACTCTGGAGCAAAAACAGTCACAGGCTTCAACATGTTTCTAAGCCGGAAATATCCGAGCAATCACCCCACCTGCTCCAATCGGCATTGCCCTGTTTCTCCACATCATACCAGACCGTGTCGTCGACTCTGGTATACCCATCCCCAGCCATGTCCCTCCAAATGGGGTCACTGTGGGGTCACTACCCCCTCTTTCTCCCCCGCTGTCGGTATCCCTTCAGTTGTGGTCAGCCTGCATCCCGTCCTGACCTAAGAGCGACCCAGAGTCCACTTCACAGAGGACCCGCGGCGGGATACAGACTCGTAGACAGCTCGACAGACGACAGTCACCAGATAAAGGCAGCGGCACACATGGCAGCTGTGGTGACGCATGGATATGTGGTCTGAGGTGACGCCTTGTCGAGTCATCGACCGGTGAGACGGTGTGTCAATTTGAACAGAACACACACCTCACAAAAAGGCGATCGATACCGGACAGGCTGTTTACAGTTCACCGTGATCAGTTATTAGCAGCACCTTGAGAACATCGCGTGATTCGAGGAGCCAGGGATAACGCAAAGCACATAGTTGCCGCTCTTACCTCAAAAATGGATCATAACATTTCATTCGTCACATTTCGACTAAAACTGACGCACATCGTGAAGCAAATTGCCATCCCTCTAATTGTCATTCGTACTGTCAAAACTGCATCTGTGCCATCAAACTCCGACATCAGACATGCACCGTCCCAACTCGCAGCCTCAACATACTGTTATGCCTGCTAGTTCCAAATCCATCTATCATATTAATCATCTTCCACGTCTCTCTTTCCAATCCTCATCCCTGTCCACCCTTCCCTCTCTCCCCCGTGACACCCCATCCCTCTCACCTCGTGTGACGTCAGGCTGGCCAGCATCTCCGGTATGAGTGTGAGCGGTGGCGGCAGAAGACGTCCCAGGGCCATCACATAGAGCAGGCGTTCCGTCACTTCTAGCTGGCTGGAGCACTTACTCGCCAGAGACTCCTGTGGTGGAGATGGGGAGGGTGAGTGAGTGAGAGAGAGAGGGGGAGGGAGGAAGGTGAGAGAGAGGGAGGCACAGACAGGTAGACAGACCAAGAAATACAAAGGGACGGATGAGGGAAGGAGAAAGAAAAAGACAGATAGACATAGAGATAAGGAGAGCGAGAAAGAGAGTATGATCATTATCCACGAAAGGGGGAGAGCGAGAGCTAGAGCGAGAGCGATACAGAGACAGAGACAGAGACAGAGACAGAGACAGAGACAGAGACAGAGACAGAGACAGAGACAGAGACAGAGACAGAGACAGAGACAGAGACAGAGACAGAGACAGAGACAGAGACAGAGACAGAGACAGAGAGAGAGAGAGAGAGAGAGAGAGAGAGAGAGAGAGAGAGAGAGAGAGAGAGAGAGAGAGAGAGAGAGAGAGAGAGAGAGAGAGAGAGAGAGAGAGAGAGAGAGAGAGAGAGAGAGAGAGACAGAGACAGAGAGAGACAGAGACAGAGACAGAGACAGAGAGAGACAGAGACAGAGAGACCGTTACACTGTGTTTCTGCACGCTGGAGGCAGGGGATAACAACAAGGAGCGGTACGGGTGGCTGTGAGTGAACTGAGTGAACCGAGGTTTGCGGAACTAGCATGAGTGATGTCTGATCTGGGTTTGTGAGCCGCGAAGGCCGAAATAACAGTCCATCTTTGTGCAGTTGCAGGATGTAAACAAGCGTCGTTAGTTATCGCGTTTGGCAAGGGTGGAGTCGTTTCAGTTTTGATGGGTTGCAGTCACTTCAAGGAATCGTTCAGCTCGTTGTAACCACACCCTAATCATGTATCCAATCGCAAAGTAGCAGAGCACACGTCGAATAAACATGCATATGACAGCTACTAAACCGGCCGTAAAGCCGTTCCCTATGCATGATGGCGATGGCACACAAACACAACGCCCCTCGCTGGGGTCATTTGGCGGCGTCTGCAAAAGTTCACCGCCCTGCTGTCGGGCGCGGCGATGACAAAACATTCACAGGTGTCACGAACACGGTACGGGCTCGTGCATCTGTACCGGGTGTTGGGACGTGTCAGCGGCCACAGTTTTACGGCTGCCGTTTGTAGGACAGACGGCACCAGCCGCCGGTGACATAGTTTGTCAGGTGGATGAATGCTCTACACTTGGCCGACAGCATTCCAGTGTAATTTAGCTGTCAGCACAATGGCCGTAATTTAGCTGGGAAACATGTATACACCGACATCGATAAAAAGGGAAAATTTCAGGAAATTACTGGAGTGCACTTTTCGCATAGAATCAGAGCGGAAGCTCGAATTACATAAAAAACAGCTGATCGAAGGACAATACACTCGACAAAGTGGCTACTTATCCCTCATTACCAGATCACTACAAACAACATGATAGCTGGTATCGATCAGATCGGCGATTCGACACGAAATAGTCACCAGTCGAGCGGCAAACTAATTCCGCCCGTAATTAACCTGAAATGACGTCCGATACCAGGCGCGCCAGATTGCGCTCATTATGTCACATAGCTCGAGCGACCGGCTCTCTATCGCCAAACACAGCACGTGCCGAGAGGTGGTCTTGTTGAGACGAGCGATACTTCGGCCAGGTGCACTGAAGATGAGTGGAATTCCCAGATTGGTGCCCGTCGCTAATGGTTTAAATACAGGCTCTATCAAAACCGCCGAGGGCCAGACACGAGGACGCCAGCTCAAGGGCTGAGGCTGGTACTTAGAAGCTGATAGTGATGATTGGAGTGGGATGTTGTTCGGTGAGGAGTCGTGTTCGAGCGTGTTGTCATTTAATTGCTGAGACTTTTTGATCACACTGGCGGACCCAGGTCGAAATACTTATCATAATCACCCAGTCCAGTGACGGAAAATTTGCTCGACCTTTCTAAAAATAAATGAGGAAAATAAGCCACATGTCGTCTTGCCGTTTTCCGAATCCCCGAGCGGGATTGTCGGAGCAGCTTTTGAAAATATCACGGTGGCTGGAATATTTCGAGCCACGTCAGATCAGATGAGAAGCCGTGGCGTCTGGTAGCGTCTGACATTTACTCGCTGGCTTACAATAAACTAATATACCGACCGAACATAATCTATGCAGCCTAGCTTGACTTACACTAAAATAATAAACCAGAGATAATGCACCCTGGCATCCAGCGTTCAGGGATCCAATTTCAGCCACGGGCAGACCACACGGCGAGGCCGGTCATGATCGGAGCCAGGCCTGACCGTCGCCCGGGCGGGGGCGGGGGCGGGGGCGGACGTCCCGTCAGCCCACTGCAGACTGCTCGGCGCCGCCGCTGACGCCACCGAGCCTGACTCACCGGGCGGCGGAGCGGGGCGGGGGCGGGAGCGGGGGCGGAGGGCTGGCCGCTGCTGCCACCGACATTCAGTAGCAAACAGGTGCGCGATGAAGATAAGGGATTCTGCCAGTTTGTGGTATGAGGACAAAGGAGGCAGAAGGTTGTTGAGCTGAAGCCTGGTTTTACCTGATTTTGATGTGAAAACACAGCACGCTTCTGGGGAATGCTTGTAAGATTGAATGTCTTCAATGTCCGAGAAATGAAATATCAAGACTAAGGAGTAATAGAAACGCTGCCTAAATCATAACGGACATAAACTATACCTGTGCGACCACTTACGTAAGAGGCCGTATATTACAACTTGCTGAAAATGGTGACTTATGGTTCTCGCAAACGGTCCGCACGACTCCACGCGACACGCCTCGGCCAAGTTGAGCTAACGGGTTGGGCCAGTTGTGTCGGCGCCTCACCCTACCTTATCGCTAAAAATAGCCATATAATCGGACATTCGCCCCTTCGCAGCCAACAGCACTACGACACAGCCTGGGCGCAGCTATAACAAAGAAACCCATGACAGGCTCGACGTCCTACTCGGCAGGGAACTTTGCACCATGACAAACTCACGATAGCACGCGCTGCAGCTGTGAATTGCGAGCCTGCGCCGACTCACACCCCCACGCCCGCAGCCGTGCCGATTAAAGTGCAGTATCATGTTTGCTCGTGTGCGGAGGAACCCTGACAAGCATTACACCACGAGCAGCACGACTAAGTCAGCAGGTGTGAGTGAGTGCGCAAACATTCGTCAGGCGCTCGCTGGTTATCATTAGTCGACCGGTTAAGCCCACTTTGAGCGTTGATTTGCCTACGCTATAGCGCTATCAGTCAGTGTTTTGTGAAAGCTGAGTCAAGGCGGGGCGACAGTGCGTACTAGCGAGCGTGATAGGCAGTGCGGCCAGACTGTCGGAACAGAGACAGGAAGAGCGTCTGCACTATCGCAGTGGTGCGCCGCCGAATACGCTGGAGGCGAGGTGGTGCTGAGTCACTGCCAAAAGGCGATGTCGAATCGACAATGTTACCAACGGCATGGTTGAGCCTACGGTACACTTATACCAACATATCGGGATAGCAAAAGTCCCAAATTCTAGCCAGACGACACGATAAACACCAAGATAGCCTTAGTCAGACAAAAAAACAGCACAGAAGAAATCTTAGAGCGCAATTCAACGTTCAACAACAGCAAAATACACCCAAGTTCGTACAGTACCTACTTCTAGACATCTGCCGATGCTATAACAGCCTAACCAGACAGCACGCTGCCATGATCTGCGACATTCCAGTTGCAGAAAAAAATATGTATCCACAGACCACACTATTTCCCACAAGCCTATCAAGACCCCGACCACTGCGCCCCACTTCCTAGTCCCTCCCACATACATGGCACCGAATGACGACACAAAATGGCGAGGTTGCAGAGTGGGATCCCCATTATCCATCAAACTTCCGTGAGTGTGTAAACCGACTCTATGTAGTCACACTTCGGGTGAATGTGACACACTAGTTCACAGAAGGAGAAGAAGTACATCTGTGGTATGTCATCAGAAAAGAAAAGAAGCAAAGGGGATAAATTCCACTCATGGGCCCGGATATGAGAGGTTCAACTGAGCAAACAGCTTGACTGTCAAGGGTGGTCAAATAATGTTAGTGGCGCAAGCACCAAGCAGTATGCATTTCATGTCTCCCGTGTTTTGAGCTTCGATAGCAGGCAGCACTAGGACTGTCCCGCTGCAGTTTTTGATGCTCACCTTGCACACGTCAACTGCAAAACATTGCCCGGCGTGATGACGACCGTCGGTAGTGTCTCCACCAATGCAATACCCACCCGAGTCGAGAACTAGTGCTAAATCAGTGTATCAGCTCAGTTATACACAACTCACCTGAATCGACGACCACTGACCAGTGTGTAACAGAACATATCTGTGCTGACCTGAGTCGAGGACCAGTGTTGTATGAGAGTCGCGGCATACAATTACTAATTACAGGTAAATATATTCACGTTTCGTACCTGAGTTGCGGACCAGTGCTGTATCAGTGTTTTGTCTCACCTGAGTTGATGACCAGTGCTGTATGAGTGTCGCCGCCAGCGCCCGCAGCAGTACCGAACAGTAGCAGATGGCCGGCGGCCGGCGGGCCACCAGCTCCAACAGACACCAGCTCAGCGGGTGGTCGTCGAAGAAACGGCGCATCTTGAGGTCCCTCTCCATCGTGACCTGGGTGGAAGGGAAGGGGTTAACTGTGACGACTGCGCAGGGATGGGGAAGGGGAAGTCGAGCTGGTGGGTCGATGAGGCAGATAGTTATTAGTTACACGGTGCACGACATTGGTTTGAAACTACCGATGATAGAATTCGCAGCTTTCAAAACAAGAAGATTATTAACTAGAAACAATTAGCGAAGGCTAAATCAATAACTACCAGTTCATTACCAATCGTGTAGGCTCACGGCATTCATGTGGGAAACCCAAGAAAGCCGACAAAAACGCTGTAACTGTGGGCAACAGATGCGTTGCTAGGAAACTCCCGTTTCGCTCATTTACGAGCAAAAACTTCCCAGCCTCCTGGAGGAGCCGCAATCGAAGATATAGGCAATCAATACACGTAACGACCTGCCGGGAAGACCGCGCGCGCGCTAGTTGGTCCGGTTATGGAGTCTGGTCACGCTAGTTCAGCCGCTAACTACCGAGTAGACAGCGACACCAGCAAACATCAACGTCCGCCAGCCCCGCCGCGAGAATCGAGACCGGCAGAACCAGTATTTTCCGGAATAGGAAGGAGGATAAAACAGAGACGAGATTAGTCCTCAGGCCACACTGCTAAGACATCTGTTTCCGCAGAAAACAGATGGCCAGAACGGAGATGTAAAAACTGTCGAGTTTATCAGGCTTCTTGCCGAGTGGTGCGAGCCATGTGACCCAGTAGGGCCACGGAGGCGCAGTCGAGCACTTCTGGTCAAACTCCGAGAGCAGTTTTTGCGAGGCGGAACGCGCAGAAAGTGTTTCGTCATTTTTATGCCGTTGACCCCAGCCTTAACGGTTCCGCTATCACGACAAAAAAGTAGCGGACCTCGAATAAGACACCGAAACAAAAACAGCCTCCATGTAATCCCATATTTGAACATGAGACCTGTAAGTGGCGTCGGCGAAGCGCTGGTTTCGCACGCCTGTTTTGGGCATAGTCATAACTCTCCAGGGAAACTTTCACCTTCAGTTCTCAATTACCCTTTGAAGAGCCTACGCTAATGAGTTCACGTTTCGTATGTCATCAGACCGTCCGCACACACACACTTTCACGTAATATTTTTTCTCGTTACGATATGAAAGTGGAACGAAGAGCTATAAAATAGCGCCATGGAATCGTCAAATTAGTATGAAGTAACTTTTAAGCGTATCTCGCACCATAAATTCAGTCATATCTAACTCATCCAAACGTCCGCAATGGAAAATGATTCCATTGATGGTGACAGCTGATATAAATGACTATTTGGCATTCGAACCAGTTATTGGGCTATTCGCATGTTAGTGAATGGATGCGTATCTCGCAACGCGCAACATTAATTCCGCCAATGAAGCATATTTCATTGAACCGCACGAGGCATGCATCCTTTCCGCTATCCTGCAGCCCGCACTCTCACCTTCATGAACTCCTCCTCGGGCCAGGGGAGGCCATTGAACATCACATCTGGCGATATGAACTCGACAAGGAGCAGCGCCAGGGTGCGCGCCGCGTCGTCGGGGCTCCGTGCCGCCGCCAGACAGCGCGACACCGTCTCCACCACGAGCTCACAGTTGAGTCGGGCGGCGGCAGGTGGCAGCACCGGCGGCGCCGCGTCCGGCCGACGGCCCTCGCCGATCACACCGGCGTGGAAGACGGTGGTGTGCGCCTGCGGCACGGTGACGATCCTCCAGTGAAGTCTGTTCTCCTCGAGCAGTGAGCGGGACGCCGGGCCGGGCGGCGGTCTGCCCTCGGAGGCGCCCAGCAGCGGCGCCAGGTGAGGCTGCAGAGCGGCGTGCAGCAGCGCGCGTAGCACGGCCGGCAGACAGACCGGCTGGCCGGCCAGACGGGCCAGCAGCTGCTGAGCCAGACGGGTCCGCCGCAGCATGGCGGCCGGCCGATCCCCGCGGCGGAGGCAGTAGAACAGATAACCCACCACACTATCCGCCAGACTGAGCTGCCTGCTGCCGGCCAAAGAGTCAGGCAGCTCCAGTAGCGCCAGCGCCTCGATGGCCGCGTCAGCGGTACCCAGCTCTGTCAGTCTCTCCGCCAGCAGCGGCGCGCACTCGGACACCGCACCGGCCAGGGGTGTCTGCAGCCAGGCGCCGGCCTGCTGGCGTCGCTCCCAGCGCAGCAGACGTACCACCGAGCGCAGGACCCTCTCCGGCGCCGCGCTCTCGGCCGACGCGTGACGGAACGCCTCCACAAACACAGTCGGAAAGTTGGACTCGAGGGCGCGCAGCATGCGCAGCGGGGTGGCCAGCCGCAGCTCAGGTCGCTCCAGCAGGCGGCTGAGGGTGTGGGCGGCGGCGGATGGGCCGCGTGCCGTGGCGGCCGTGGCCAGGAGCTGGACACAGCGGCGCGCGCGCTGGTCGTCGGCAGAGAGGTGGGCGGCGAGCTGTGGCAGGGCGTCCGGCAGGGCGGTCAGCAGCGGTACGTCCGGCGCCGAGCCGGGCTGGCAGTCGAACACCAGCCGCTGCAGCTCCGACAGCACCCGCTCTGTGGGGGAGGGGAGGGGGAGGGAGTGGTCAGAGGCAAGGTGTCGAGGTGGGCGGCTATTTGGTCAGGTTGGCCCGAATAACCTACAAGCGTGGAAACGATGAAAAGCAACACAGTACAAAAGGTGAAATGAATGTCACGGGTCAGGCAATCCACAATAAATAGAGAAAACACGACAGAGCACAACATGGGCTGACTTTTCAATAGTCAAATTTGACTTGAGATCCCATTTGGCTGTTCCAGAAGCTAATACCAACTATAAGCAAAGTGATCTTGCAAGTTGCAATAAACGCCTACTTAAAATGCTAGCATACACAGACGATCACTTGCTCATAACATCACTCAAAATCCCCCATGTACCCTTCTCTCGACCAGTCTCCAGACGTCCCTTCTCTCGACATCAACACCACATCTCCCACATACCCAGCAGGTGTTCGGCGGCTCTTCCGACGCTCTGTCCGTGGTCAGCGGCCCGCAGCAGCAGCTGCAGCAGTGTGATGGCTCCGCGCTCACAGCCCAGCTGCATCTCTCGGGCCATGGAGCGGGTGCTCGGCCCCAGTACCAGGTGAACGGCCAGCGAGAGAAGGCTCTCGGTGGTGGCAAAGTGGCGAGGGATCCAGGAGGGAAGCTGCTCGGCGACCACGGCCAGCTGCTGAGCCGTCACTGCCGGAGGACACGGGGAGGGGTAAACGTAAGACTGTGGAGTGCACAAGTCGAGAAAATGGGTTAACAGAGTGTAAATGAAGTTACCTACGCAAAATTCAGTGTTCAGACTTCACAGCTGGGCGACAACTGTCGGCAATCGCAGAACCGAGACAACGCAGTGGTTGCTTCGCGGTTTTCTTGAAAACATATGCCTCAAAATCGACTCGAACTACTTTTCCAAATTGGTTCCCACAACTTTATACATTCATATGCAAAAGCACTGCACTGTTGAACAAAAGAAAAAAACACTGAAGATCGACGATGCTCATTCGGTAAAGATCACCGCATTTAAAAAAGCTCATTTAAGACCAGGGACAATAAATGGCACGTCTCCGCTGGTCTGCTGGTGAGCTCTGTAACCACCGCCGCTCACCCGTTTTGGCGATTTCCGTGCTCAGAGTGATCAGCAGCATGGGTGACAGGCTGGCCAGGTGCAGCAGAAAGGGCACGGTGGCGAGACGGGTCTCCGAGGACGACGCGCCGCCAGTACTGACGCTCGTGCTGGGCGGGACGCCGGGGGACTCCGGCGGTCCGACACTCTCCTAGGGAGGGGACAGAAACCATGAGAGGCTGGTATGGAAACAACGAGGCGGTAGGTTCATGCTCTTTGATGCATAAGTACCTAAATCTCGGAACAGTCGACGGAGAAAAGAAATACCAAATATACAAGCTCCTAAAACGATGGTACAGCTCAAAGGAATAAAAAATAATAAAAACAATTTATTAAATAAAAACTACGCATTGTTACGACTAATTCATTCATTGAAAATGGCGCGTTGTTACGACGTCAATAACACAAGAAAATAAGCACCGATCAATTTTTTACCTGGAAGAGCGCCTTTAGTGCCTCGCATATTTCCGACGAGTTCCGGTCGGCGAGATGTCCCAAAATGCTGACGACGGAGTTTAGCTGGCCGGACAGCTCCCCTGGGAAACAGCAGTGCGGTTCAGATGGCGGTCTGTTGTGGTTCCGAAACACGTCTTATGCTGTGCATCAAACTGTACATACATAAAACAAATATATGGGGAATTTGTCAACCAGCACCTACACTAGTTCATCTCAATTTATCAAACCATAAAATCAGCACGAGAATGTCTGGATTTGAAGCCATGAATCACAAGGTATTACAAGGTTGGTGCATCAGTACTTCCATTTTGCAATTGTTGCGCTACCAGCGAGATGAAAAATGAAAACAAGAAGATCCATCCGCTTCTTCATCACCCAGCCTCCTTTACGCAAGTTTCCCCTACCCCTACTATCTTCAGACCCCACCACTACCTACCTAGTCTCCTCCAACACCACAATCCCTCTCACCACCAAATGTTTCCCACGTCCACCTGCATCCTCCTCCACTTACCCGCATCGGTCGGCTTCTGGGCGCAGAACTCTCTGAGGCCCACCGCCAGCACGCGCTCAATGATAGTCCCCGGGAAGCAGGAGCCAATGTGCGCCACCACCCAGTCAAAGTGCGGCGTGTAGGTGGCCGACGTCTCCAGGAGTGGCTTGATGCACACATCCGTGTCCCGCCTGACACACTGCACCGTGACGGTGACGAGGGCGCGCGTGGCCGGACAGCACAGCCACAGCTGCACTGAGTCGTTCAGGCCGGCCGAGTGGGGGACGTGAGCGCGCGCCGCGTACCGCGCCGACAGTCGTCCGAGCAGCTCCAGCGCCCAGGCCGAGATGAGCGGCACCCAGCCGGCCGGCGCCGCCTCTAGGAGTGAGGAGAGGGTGGCACCGATCTCGGCCACCAGGTCGTCCTCGCCACCGGCGGCCGCGGCGGCGCCCTCCGGCGTATCGCCCTCCTGGGGACAAACGGTCGAGCTGGGGTCAACAGTCGGTAACTTTTCAGATGATACTGATAAATGAGGTCAGGCGAGCGGACTGCTAAGCATCGACGCCCATGACTAAATGTAACGCTTTTCAGCGAAACTCGTTTAGAAGCTGCTGGAATAGATATGGGATGCTTCAACTAGGCATACAAAACTATTAAAGCAACACAAATGTCAATCACAAAACCTAGGACAGACAAACTCCCCAATCCCCATATAACCAGCAAGGCTCCCCTTCCCCATTCCTCTCCACGCCCTCCATCAAAGCGCACCGCTCACCTCCAATTGTGTGACGAACTGAGCTGTGCATTCACCTAGCACTGTACTGAGGTATTCAAGGCCGGCTTGCCGCGCCGCCGGCAGGCTACGCAGTAGTTTCAGAGCCGTGTGCGTCAGCTCTTGCTGACTGAGACGCGTCTCGTGAGTGGCGCCGCGCAGGAACCGCCGCAGGTCATCGCGGACCGATTCCGAGCGGTCGGCCGCCGCTGCCGCCATGGTCGAGCGGTTCAGAGGTGAATGGGTGGCTGGAACCTGTGGAATAGAGATGGCAAGGTGAGTTGGGTATTTAATGGTTCACAAACTGCTGCTGCTATTCCGCACACATGAAATATATGGCAGAGGCACACAGCTGTGGTCTTAAACCTGGACTATGACTGTGCCAGGCTTCATAGCAGCTGTAAGGTGAGAAAATGAGCACCATTAATTGCATTTCATGGCGTGATAGCAAAATTGCATTGGTGTTTGACAATCGGACACAGTGATTAACATTGCATTGGTGTTTGTCAGTGGGACGTTATGGGTAGAGACAACCAGCTGCCCTTATCAAAAGCAGACATTTTAGTTTGTTTACACTTACATATCTAAAAATATTAAAAATAACCATATCCTAATAAGTTTAACGCTCGCATGTGTGCAGCGTTTGCCAGCTTCTAACATGTAGGGCGGGGGGGGGGGGGACGATTGGACCCCCCCCCTTGTGGTTTGGCCCCTGATCGGGCTAGGGCTTAGCGGAAAAAATGAGCGCGTTGCCCGTCACGAGTCGAAGCAGATGATGCCCAATTTTAAGGTCCTAGGTCATTGGTTGACCTTCCAGGTCAGCTAATCCTTTCAAAACAAAACAAAAAATCAAAATGGAATATGGAACAGCCGGGATGAGATGGGGAAACTTCGATTGGAATTGGGTCTATTTCTTGCTCACTTCCTTGTGAAGTGCCCTGATGCTACTCAACTTGTAAGTAGGCATCCACCGGTTATATTTTTAACAGGGCCGTATCCATAAATCATAAATAATAATGAATAAAAATAGCAGAGCACCTTCCCAAACAAATACACTTACACGCGCCGGATTGGGCAAGGATGGAGATAAAGCAATTAATAAACGCAACTACTTACAACTTTGACGTCATAAGTAATGATGCAGCATGAGCATAGATTTGCAACAAAGGTAAAGAAAAGTGCAAAATGTCAATGCTTTTGATCCTCATCATACAAAACGAAGCAAATCTTAGTCAAGCCAAGCAAAAATTTGACTAAACCAAGACTTAAACCGACTTAAAATTTAAATGTTTGCAAAAGGAAAGTGAAATATGATAATAAAAACTATAACGTCATTTTTATACGTAAATAAAATATTCGTGAATTTGATGTTGCGTTGAAAATGAAAAACAAATTATTGATGGCATTACATTAGATAACACAAAATATGTTTTTTTGAATGATTTAAAAGTAATTGATATAAAACAAATGAAAATCGTCGATCATTTGACCGTAGGCAATGGAAAAATTACAGTTTGAATTTGTAAATTTCGGTCTAATACAACTTCAAACGTCATTTACTAGAAAAACCTTAGTTCATTTTGTTGGTGTCGCAGGGCCAGGGTGTCGCATTTGGGTCATAAATGTAGACAAGAAAAACATTTGCGATGCGATTGCGATTGGATTGCGATATTTTTGCGATGCGGATGCGATCGCAACGCTGACGCGCGGGGGTCACGATTAATTCTGTGAATTGAATCTATCTCTGTGAAGTGAAACCAAGCGAAGTTCCCGTAGGCTGTATTCTGTAATGCCATTGGTAGCACATTCTCTCTTTATTTGTACTTATCACGGCCTGGCACGCCCGCCCACGTTACATGCCACAAAGTCACCAAGCTGCGAAGAACAAGGTTTTCAGCTCAAACCAATCTGAATCGTATCTGAATCTGCTCAAGATCGTGACCTGATAAAGATAAATTAATTAACTCTTGTATATTTATTTATTATAATCAATGGTGAGCATTCTTTGCAGGGTAAGACACTTCTATCTTCATTATTAATTGAAGGGTTCTCTCTAGTTCTCGGTGGAATCTGAAAACGGGGCTTGTGGGATAATCTAATCAAGGATCTTGAAATTTGCTTGACCTAATCACATGACAATTGCCTGGACTGGAAAAAATACATGCTATGTCAAATGTCTAGCATAGTGGCGGGATTGCGTCAAAAATTTCAGCGCACGTCCGGAGTAACTTTGTTTGCGCCAAATTCAGTGTATGGCAGCGGCTGAATTTTTGGCGCAGGGCGGCCGCATAATTTTTTGACGAAAGACGGTCACCGAATGGTGAATTTAGTCGGCACGCTGGTCAATCAATCAGCAGATTCGCACTGTGGGGTGCTTGTGGCTCTGGAGAGGTTTCGGCACGAGACGTCCACGCCCCAGTTGTCGTGTTCTCGAACTGGTGAGCCGCTCTGAGTCTACTCGGCGGAGGAGCAGCCGCCCAGGTGAGGCCTCAACCCTCGGTGTGGAGAAAGGTATGGAAGACCTTGTTGAACATAGTCGTCGTCGTTAAGTAGGTAATACTGCAGTGGGTTCCTGCCCACTGCAGTATCGAGGGAATGAGAACGCGGAAGACCTGGCGAAACAAGCGGCCGCCCTGCCCTCAAACGCCCGCTTGCTGACCAGGGTGGTTCATTGTGCGGTCTCGCATCAATGGCGCGACAACTGGTCCCGAGTTACTATTCAAGCCACTCCTCGGGAGCACGCCGCCGCTCCCTATCCCCGGAGAGGACCGAGAGGACGCTGTTTCGGTGCACCAGATGAGGGCGGGCCACTAGGGCCGCTCGCTCCAGTACGTGCACCGAATCGGCTGTCTCCAGTCCGCGCAGTCCGCGGCGTGCCAGCAGTGCCCAGACAAGCGGTGCCACGCGGCGCTCTGCGCCGTGTACCGAGAAGAGACTGATGTGCCGTAGCACGTGCTGCTCCGCTGTTCGGCCCTCGCTGACTCCCGGCTCCCGCCAGCCTCAAACACACCGCTCCGCCGATTTTTGTGGCTCCGGAACTTCCGGTTCCAGCCTTGTTTCACGGCACGACGCTTCAGTGTACTAAGCGTATTGAGGCATTGGATTTCCATGGAAATAAAGAACTTTCGGATGCTCAAACATGAGAGAGCGTCCAAGGCCCAGGAACACTCCGGCTAGTTGATATAGCCTTGATCGGTAGATGTGCACAGTGCACATGTGGTTTATATAAAAGTCAGTGGCTTAATTTTGGCACAAATAGACGCCCAATTTTCGGCGCAAATCATGCAGAAATTTTCAGCGCAAAATCGCTTGCGCCGAATTTCGGCTCAAGGGCGTCCAGCGTAGTGTCTGGATGTTTTCCAGTCCGGACAATTGCCAATTAGCAATTGGCCTGTTAAAGGCACCAAGGGGGGAGGAGAATATCCCAATAATCACGTGACTAGAAATACAGGGTGTCCCAAAAATAATGTCACACCTTTCCAGCGTCAATTTCATGGAAATAACAAATATGATAATTGAGAGGCGCGCTTTTCTTACATACGCATCCCACCTTCTCCCTGATGCGGGCAAGCATACGGTCCGGGACATCAGACATCAACATGTCTAGCTTCTGTGGACTGATCTTGGACCAGACAGATCGAACGTTCCTGGTCAGCGTGCGTTCAGGTTATCCTGGCGCCGTTTTGCTCACCTCTTACAGGACGATCGCCCAAAGATTTTCTATCGGCGACAGATCGGGGCTATTCACCGGCCATTTGTCCTTCTCCCAGAATGCTGGGAAGTTCGATCTGTACCATTCCTTCGTCGTTCTAGCTCGATGAGCCGGGGCGCCGACTTGTTGAAAGATGGCCCTTGACATGTTCAGCAGAAGTTTTCGGCTGGAAACGTGGCTTGTTGGGCTTCAGCTTTAGAGACATTCTCCCGTACCGATGGATTATCAATTTGAAGACTGGATGACTGTTGGCAATCAGCCTCCTTGCCAGTTTCCTTGTGGATAAGCCCGTCTTTAGCTCGGCACTTCGCGATGACGATCTGCGCTATACCCGGCTGGCGGAAGTCTTCCTGCCGCGACCTAGCTTGTTCCCAGGCGTCTATCCGCTTCTGTCGCGTGATAACCAGCGCCAAATCGTGCGACAACTCATGCCCAGTACCTCGGCGACCTGGCCGTGGGTCATGCCACCGGTAACCATGCCGACGGCCCCGCTGCGGGACGATTTGCTCAACAGTTTCGCCATCCTGGACACCTGGTCCGCTCGCGCTGGGTACTGCCCCGGAAATGACCTCCGTACACCCCTTGACCGGTCAGGGTCACACAAATTCGAAGGTCACGTGACTAGAATGTAGCCAATATGGTCTGGGAGCCAGTACCTGTGAAATTATATTGATATTGCGCAGTGGAAGGCAAAACAAAGGTTGTGGGAGGGTGTGACATTAATTTTGGGACACCCTGTAAAAAAAAATCAGTACGTATATATTGTCTCTTTGCCAATCAGTTGCATCAGCAGCTAAGGGGCATTCACTATCTTTTTCCCAGGCATGAGCTAAACAGCATTGTTCAGCATGTCGTTCTTTAAGAACCTGAAAAGCTTGTTCTCCGTCGGCGGTGAGACGAATGCATCCAAACGTCGGAGGGCGCTCAGCAATGTCAAGGTGGATGCCAACCCGGAGGAATTCTGGGAGCTGCAGGGTGAAGTGGGCGATGGAGCCTTCGGTAAAGTCTATAAGGTGAGCACGGCGAGGGACAGAGTTGTTGAAAGCTAGTCCTCATATACATACTTAATTTTATGTTGTTGCTTATAAGTCTTGGGTGTTTACCAACACCCTCTGACATGTTCCTTTTCTCACTAACCTTTATTTTTGGTTTCACCCACCAATAAAGTTATGGAAGATGTGCGGCAATTGCAACTTGTAGGTATGTTTACCACTGCAGATATCCCACCTTTCCCGATCTGTCATGACCTCTGCTGACCTGTCTTTTACCCCTGCCGTCTGTGTCCTCCGCTGACCTCCTGTGACCTCCACTGACCTCCACTGACTCACATCTGACCTCTGTTGAACCGCTCCCGTGTCGCCCTGCGCAGGCGGTCCACCGGATGTCCGGGCTGGTGTCTGCCGCCAAGGTGTGCGAAATGTCCGAGGACGACGAGCTCGACAACTTCATGGTGGAGATCGACATCCTCACGGAGATGCAGCACAAGAACGTGGTCCGACTCATCGACGCCTACCTGATGAAGAAGCAGCTGTGGGTGAGTAACAGCGGAGAATGTGACGTGGTCTTCCGACACCTTGGTGGGGCTGTTTCCCTTTTCCATTAAATCATAACGTATTGCCGTTAAGAAGGAAGGATCGGTTTATATCTCGAACTATCAAGCCGCGTTGCAACCATTGAACTTGGTCGTATGAATGAATAACATATTTCGGTGGGTTTCACTATAATATGTGATGCACTTTTCTGAATCATTTTAAGTGAGGTAAAGGGTGTGAATAGTTGCAGAAATAGCTTATCGCGATAGCTTGCTTGTGATGCTGAAAAATAGGGCTATTGTGCGATTTTGGTTTGAAAAGGCCGAATTGTAGAGACGTATTTTTATATTCAAGTTCAACCCGCATATTGCGAACGGCGGAGTGTAAAGCGATTCTTATAAAGCAAAAATTGGCGACAGGTCATTAAATGATTCATTTCCGTTTTTTAGTATTCATACGTCTTATAGAAATCAAGCAGGTTATCGTTTGACCACCTGTCGATAAAGCAGCTCGTACCTGTGGGCTGAATCGAGAACAAGAGTCATCGGTGGCTCAACACCTATGTATAACGGACTGTATTCAGGGAAGCCACCTGACTGGCTGTCATAGTGACAGCAAACGGACGTCTGACAGCACTGTTGTGATTGGTTTGTCAATTCATTGACAACGGATTTGTAGTTGGCACCAAAGTGATACTGGTCATGGGGTGAATTGAAATGTGGCCTAGTCATACAGGCATTGCTATTTGTAATTTGTATGCGGCATTTACGTTTTGTGGTCCACATCGCGACCCCTGCACAGCAAAGTCGGCTTTCAAATAAATAAAAAATTGACAGTAACTTGCGCTGATATGAGATGTGTAGTTGCATACCTACTTACACAAGATGCAATACGGGTCAAGCGCATTGTTGATTTTTTTGTTGACGCCTTTTCCTTGACCCAAAAAGTACGCGCTAATTTAGCTACATTTTAACTTTTAGGTAATGTTATTTAAATATGTGGCTTTGTAATGTTTGCGAAACTCGAAGAAGAAAATATGGATCGCTGAGCAGAAAAAGCGATAGAGAGTGCTCTATCGTTTTCATCGTCCTACCGAGAGACACGCCGCAGCCAAATCAGCCGGGGCCGGGTATTCCAGCCTTCCGGCTCGGTTCTCCGGCAGTAGTGCCGCAGTACTAAGTCTCCGCGGCCATTGTTTGTCGCCCAAATATCCCTCTGATGTATGGCACGCCACGAATTAGACGGCGAACAATGACTGTAACGCGGCCCGGCGCACTATACAGCGGGCGGTAGAGACGGAGAAACGGACCGGCCGCCGCGCGGTCACTTGAGAAGGAGTGATAGGAGGCTTCTGTCACCGGCTTAGGAAGCTTTCTCGCGAGGTTCTTTGTGTTGGGGGTGTTCTTACGTTTTGAATTACGTTGTTACGATGTGAAATGCCCACGTGAATCCTATTGTAGATATGCTAATTTTTATAGCGGCAGACGCCTCAGGCGTCACTCCCGGCTACTTTGTGAGTGTGTTGGCCTTACTCTCATTTTATTTGAACTTCTAACGACTTACATACTCGAGCAGTTGTTCTTCCAATGAAACCCGTTCCACCCGTCCCTCATGAAAAAATCGTTATTAGCCGTATGCGATCTTCAAACGAGAATCTAAACAAACATCCGTGCTCGAGTTTTGAGGACGGTACGCGTTTCTGTGGCTACGGCAGACGTTACATTTCTCTGCAGTGGTTTGCTCAGTCACACGCCTGAGTCACACAGTAGCCATTCGTTTCCATTCGGCATTCAGGGGAGTGTTTATCTCATCTTTCGACCTATGACGTCACATGCAGACGTCATGCTATAAACCACCCACAGGGTGGTAACCTAACCTCCCGTGGTGCTAAAATGCCGGTTGGGGAAATGACATCATCCTTGATTGTTCGCTGTCCAATGGTGACGTCACTCGGCCGTAAACGACGAGTGACGTCATATCATCTGCGGCCTCGCTAAAGAGTTTGACGAGTGTGCTTTGATTTTAATTATATGCATGCTTCGCATACATTTCCAATTACCTACTAAAACCAACATTAATGGAAGACAGTCACGGTTCTACGTTATTACCGTGACCATAGCCGTGACTATTGTATCCGTTATTTCAAGTGTCATTTGCCGTGGTTGATTTTTCGTTTTCATTGTCGTACGTACATTCCTAGTCCGTGACCCGTTTTGCCGGCGATTGGACGTTTACTGGTCGACAGGGCGCTCCAATCATCACTAACCCCCTCTCCCCCTTGTCCGCCACTCCCAGATGCTGCTGGAGTTTTGTGACGGCGGTGCCGTCGACTCGATCATGGTCGAGCTGGACCGCGGCCTGAAGGAGCCCCAGATCGCCTACATCACGCGTGGTATGGTGGAGGGACTCCAGTACCTGCACCAGCACAAGGTGGTTCACAGGGACATCAAGGCCGGAAACGTGCTGCTTACTACAGACGGCGGCGTCAAACTCAGTGAGTTGGCGAGCGGGAGTGGGACTGGGATACACTCATTAAGTTGGGGAGTGGGATCTCTCAGAGGCGTCAAACTCGGTGGGTTAAGGGTTAGGAAGTGGGAGTTACAAGTAGTGCGATTTCAGCAATGCTCTTGTATTGATGCTAAATGTAATGGGCATTGTATTCGTGCATTGTTTGCCAGGTGCTAAATTTGTTTCATATTATTACATGTCTGGGTGATTATCCTAATTTAGGTCGTTGGTGACAACGTATTTCTGGGCGTTTGTGGTGTTGGCTCTGCTATAAATAGGCCCTCTGTGTATCAGTATCAGTGTGCTATCGCGTCGGTGCATGACATCGTTGTACCCGCGCTAGTTAATTGTGCCGGGGTCTGTCGGGGGTTCGTGACGTAGACGAACGTATTACGTAAACTCTTCCTATTATCTGCGCTGCTGTGTTGACAATATTTACCGATATATTGAACTATATGATAATATTTCCCCCGTGTTAACTTTCAACAACACACGGCTCATCAAAATCCCCAGCGTAAATGACACCTGGCAAGGCTCAAATAAACTCACTATTAGCGCTTACGTAAACCCCAACTAACACTCTCTTACCCCCGTTCTCCCTCCCGCAGCTGATTTTGGTGTATCCGCCAAGAACAAGCACACAATGCAGAAGCATACGACGTTCATCGGCACTCCCTACTGGATGGCGCCGGAGGTGATCGTATGTGAAACGTCGCCAACCGACACGTACGACTACAAGTCTGACATCTGGTCACTGGGCATCACCATGATCGAGTTCGCTCAAAAGGTGCGGAACGGGACGGGATGGAGTTAGGGAGGGGAGACAGGGGAGGGGAGGGTGGGGGAATGCGAAAGAATACGTTGCTGCGTCGTTGTACATATTTAAGGCGGCGTGATTTTAGCGTTGAATACGCAGTCTTTCTGTTTTGTTCTACAATAATTAATGAAGTAACATGTCAAAATTGTTACTGTAATATGCAATTTGAGATGTAATCATGGATAATTCCCTGATGTGAAGATGGTCGAACAAAATGTCTTCGATAGGGTCGTAGGCGATCATCAACGAATTTCGTCAAAATCATGCCTTTAATGGCCCTTTCACACGTAGCAACTTTTCCGGTCGCCGGCGACGGCAACTGTCGCCGGCGATCGCCAGCGACCGGGGTCAGTCGCCGGCGATCGCCAGCGACCGGGGTCAGTCGCCGGCAACTCCGCAGTTGTCGATATCAGCTGACCAGTCGCCGGGGTGTGACGTAGCAGTCGTGTCAGCCAATCATTGAAGAGTTGTCGGCGTTGCCGAGAAAGTTCAATTTTTCCAACATTTTGAAGTCGCCGGCGACTGTTCTAGCCAGCCGCCGCTCAACTGTCACGTGACCCGCTTGACCTTGAGTTGGCACCAGATATTGCGCTGCTGATACATGCAGCGGCGCAGCTTATTTTACTGCATTATTCAAGGTACTAAATATTTGGACATGTTTTGCAGGATGATAACTACCGTCTAGGTAATATTGGAATAATATTTATTAGATCTATTATTGAAACAATACATAATATCAATGAAAATACAATCAAACTGCGATTCTTCTTCATTGGAATTCAATGCACTCAAGCATAAAACTGAAAAGTGATGTGTACTTGCAGTTCCTCCATTTTTCCTAAAGACTACGAGTGCTGCAGATTTTGCTCACCTGTCTTGTTTATTCAACTACAACCCTGTTCTCAATAAATGAATAACTTCGCTGTAACGACATTAGCATTGAAGGAATGGTTGGTGGTAAGCATGGGACAATCACAGTGATTTGTGGTCACACATTTGAACCGTGCTTTGTATGTGAAAAACAGAAAAAAGGCATTCTAGAAATGTAGCAGAAATTCAAATGCCAGAAACGGACCTGAGGAACGGCGAAGCCTACCACCCACATAAAACACAGGCTTTCATTATGTCAAAAACAGATGCTGTATTATCTAAAGCGCTAGATTGGGGAACACAAGTGTACCCCCCCCCCCCTTATAACAAAATGCATTTTTCCACACAGTGGATATCACTAAACATGGCGAGGTGACAGTATATGACGCCATACGCGAGACCACATAAAAATGCAGCACGCGCGGACACGGGGCAAGGACGGTGGCACAATATGCCGATACCCAAGAAGACACAAGCCTAGGTCAAAGGTGACAATACTGTGACAGAAATCTTAAAATCAGCCTGGACACAGCTCACTCTTCATGACCGTTTTTATCGAAAATAGACCAACAAAACACCAAGGCTCCTTCGTCCAAAACTCAAAACTCGACATGCCGCTCCAAAGGCCTTGCAAAACAGCGCACACCAACAACGCATAATAGCCAGCAACGCACACGACAGGATTTTCGAGGCACGAGTCGTCAGCCGCCGCCGCCGCCGCCACCTCCCGGCAGCTGATTGCCGAGTGCCTTGCTCCGGCTTGCCGCACCGGCGCCGATCGTGGCGACCTCTTTACTCTGGCAGAATCGACCCTACCGAGCGGCGACAGCATTCAGTTCAGAAGCAAAATGACAAATGAATTCACTGCACTATGTCAGAAAATCAAATGCACATGCCATGATCACACGCGGTGCCGTCCACGGGGCCGGCAGAAGCTGCACACTGTCACCGAACACCACCTGCACCTTGGACGCAGTATGTGAGGGCTTGCGCCGCCTCGCGTGCGGTATTGGCATCAAGGCCCGGACACGAGGGAGCACACTCGGCGCAATCAGAGCACACCGTCCGGGGCCGTCAGTGTCGATCTCCTGACCTCACAGAAAGTTGTGCAGCACACAGGTGAACGCCGTCAGTGTGGTGACTGGTGCGGAGCACACCGTCCCACGGAAGATCGTCTGTGGGCCGTGGTGCAGATGCTGTCTCTAGGCAGAGTCAACAGTGCAGTGGCAGAAGTTGAACATTCAGCTGCTAGACTCCTTTTCGGGTCAGCAATGCCGTCGAGTTGGCCATCAGGTGGTGTTGCAGAATCATCAGGTACTCTTGATCAGGTACATCAGGTACAGAACCTCTTGACTCATCAGGTAACGCTGTGACTTGTCTGCCAGGCACAGAGGGCGGACATGTCAGAACATACTTCAAATACATTTTTAAAAATCATTTTTTAACCAAAAGCTCTGCAAATTAGGAAGCCTGGAATAGGCTATTGCTTAGCATCATAAAAACTACCCAAATACCCAAATCAGGTTAGGTTTGGTTTACCCAAATACCCAAATCAGGTTAGGTTTGGTTTTTACACTTCAGGCTTAAATGAGAACAATCTTAGCATCATTATCCTTGATGTAGCATTGTTGACGCTTTTTGTCTTGTACAATTGGCAATCAGTATTCAGTGACACAGAATTGGAATTTGTGGTTCAGAAACCTAGCATTATTTGAAATAATAGCATTTTAGCAGTGCTCATTCTTTTTGAAAGCAAGTGTATTTTTAATATAATTTTCTAGGTAATTCATTTCCTGCTGAATATGGTTATGAGACCATTGTTACTAATTTTGGTATTGTTAAGGCAGCTGTAGCATGAGTGGGCATATGCTGTAGAGACTGGAGTGATTAAAGTCACTAGAGGCTTGAGGGTTTTTTTAGACATTATGCAGCAGCCTGGGGAGATATGCAGAGGCAAGTCTAGGCACCACCAGAAGGGGGATAAGCAGTCAGCACAACACACAGTGGGCACAAGGGGAGAAGATTGTAAAAACTATTGCCTGGATCCACCTCTGTGGACATCCTCAGGCATGCCTCTGTGGACATCTCCAGGCTGCTGCATGTAAAAAAGTATCAAGCCTCTAGTGACTTTTTCCACACTGCAGCAAATGCCCGCTTATTCTTGGTCTGCTCTACCTTCCTCCAATTATGAGTTTTGTGTGAAAATGACATTTTTACATTGGTGGAGCTTGTGTGCGCATGGTACACATAAGCCATGCCGGCAGCATTGCTGCAATGAATAGGAAACAGCTCCAGGGCCAAAATACATACCACCTAATACCTTGCCAAAATACATGACATACCTACCACCTACTATGCATAATGCAATTATTTATGTACTAATAAGCCATGGATTATCATTTGCCCTGTGAGCACGCACACACATGCGAACCCAATGCGGATAAGTTTGGCCTGGGTTGTTTATCCATGGTACCAAGGAAAACTCCAGCAGAAACAATAACAAAATTGCAAAGCTACCTGTTTGATTTTGGTCATGCTAATTAATGAGCAGCAATATAATATTTTGTTGCTATCAAATATTTCCTTGTGTCGCATGAATAGGTAGGCAAATAGCTGACTGATGGGTAGGCACTTTGTCCTCAAGGGCACTGATACTGAATGTAAACAATGTTCTTGTGACACAACAAGCAAGTTTTCATTACCTTATGAAACTAGTGTCAATTTCAATGTCATTAAAATACTCAATTTTGATGAAAAAATACATATTTATCACAAATAAAAATCATGGGTGATCATGGGCAAGTGCGCCACAAATGACATAAACCCTCCAATATTGTCGAATCAAGCTTAAATTCAAGTCACAACAGCTTCACGACAGGCAAACTACAAGATAATAATCCCTACGCTACTGTGCAACAAATTTAAGGTAGCCACACCAACCAAAAATGCATCACAAATCACCTAAACCACTCACCAAGGACAAAACTGTCATGGCGGCGTCCGCTGCTCGAGAAGAGTCGCCGGCGACTGGCCTGTGACGCGGATCTGACGTCACCAGTTGCTGGCGATTGCCCGGCCGTGGCCCGGCGATCGCCGGCGACTTGCTTACGTCATACCTACGTCACACACGATCGTTGGCTGGCGGTCGCTGGCGGTCGCCGGCGACTGCTGCTGTCGCCGGCGACTGAAAAGTTGCTACGTGTGAAAGGGCCATTAGTGTAATAAAACCGTTGGCACGTTTACCGACGGGCCTACTGTCTAGTATGTCCGTCACGGACGTATTCGGTGCGTGGGAAAGGGGAAGTGAGTTACTGTCCATTTCCGTCGCGTGCCGCCATTGTCCTTAGATGTCCAAATGGCGTGTGTGGGCCCCCGCCTGTGGTCCATTGTGTTCAATTGTTTGCCGCTCGGCCATTTGAGTCAGGTCAGACAAGAAGTCATTGTTTGTTTCGTTATCAGTCACGTCTGCCAACGGAAATTTTAGCTTTTTGAAATTGAAGTTTCCACGTCAAATTTAATTTCCTGGCATATCTGAATATAATTATTAGACCGATGGAAAATTACAGTCCCATCGACCCTAAGGTCGGCATCACCCCGAGATAATGAAGCTAACGTAGCACCGGAATCATGGAAAGTCGATAGTCCAAAAAGCTCTCATCCGTGCGCCTTCGTCGGCGAATTGCATTGTTTGGCGCTGATGATTGGCTGTTTGGTGGTTTTGATGACTTGTTTGAAGGCTCTGTTCATTCTAACACACCACATTTCTGTGTGGACTCTCGCCACCTTCTCGACCCCAAGAGTCCAGGGCTGCGAAGTCGATGGATTTTCGGCGACTCCGACTCCGACTCCGACTCCGGCTTTCAAAAACCAGCTCCGACTCCGACTCCGACTCCGGGCAGAATTGTCGACTCCGACCGACTCCAACTCCCGACTCCGACTCCGCAGACCTAGCAGTGCTGCGGAGTCGACAGATTTTCGGTGACTCCGACTCCGACTCCGGCTCGGGTTTCTAAAATCGACTCCGACTCCGACTCCGACTCCGGTCACAACTGTCGACTCCGACCGACTCCGACTCCGACTCCGACTCCGACTCCGACTCCGAAGCCCTGCCCAAGACCCTCTCAGACTCAACTGGAGCTGTATCGATCATGTAGATATCTGTTTGCATTGTCACTCTCGCAGCACAGGTGAAGCCACACTTTGTGTTCCCTGACTAGTAGCACAGCTTTTACGGATTTGTATGTTTCACGTTCATTTCTTCGGTTTATGATAAAAACCTAAAGGTCTTCACAAATCCATTTATGTACAGCATGAAGTAGAGCACCTGTACATATTTTGATAGTTCTTAGTCCATGCATAAGCTATGTAACTTCTCTGAAGTGGCCGTCGTTTGTTTGATCCGTGGTTTCCAAACTGACCCATGACCTATGGCCAATATGACCCTTGGAATCTAACCTGTCATTTCCAACCGATTCTGAACTAATGACCGTTTGACCTGCGACCTATGACCTGCCCAGTGACCACTGACCTTTGACCTGCTTTACCTCTGACCCTCGTAGGAGCCTCCGTACAACGAGCTGAACCCGGTGCGGGCCATGCTGCGGATACAGAAGCACGATCCTCCCACCCTGGACCGGCCGAGCCAGTGGAGCCGAGAGTTCAACGCCTTCATCGCCGCCTGCCTGAAAAAGGAGCCCGAGAAACGAGCAGACACCGGCCAGCTTCTCGAGGTGGGTCCTGAGGTGACGCAGAACGCAGAGTTGTGGAGGTAGTGATGGTGACTTCATGGTGCGTAAACTAACGGCCGTGAGTGATAATTGTTTTTTTTTTTGTGAATGGGGAGAAACTTGGAGATTGTTGGACGTGCTTAGAAGCGTGATGACAGAGTCTCATGTTAGGAGCTAAGCGGACGGCTGTGATGTAACGGAGTTCCATTTGCTCGTATCTTTTAAAGGAAGTTAGCGAAGTTATCCTGCATACATAATTTATTATTGCTTGCGGGTTGTCTATCATCGAAACACAGTCTCCGGATCCACCGATTCTCCAACCCAACGTCGCTCTGTGTCAGGCTGATCCCTCAGCGTCTAGCCTGTGTCGTCATGACCGCGCTGCCAATGTCGGTGGAGCCGCGATACAGCGACTATCTGGGTCCCGGTGGAGCGGGCACGGTCTGCCGCAGCCGAACCGCGGTTTATGGCGTGCTGTAATGTCGGAAGTGACGGTGCGTGGTCCGTGGAGGTCATCCGGAGGGAGTGTTCATGGATACTATCTCATCGGAGCATTACTTACGCTCCTCTCTATGTAGATTTTATTGAAAAGGCGTGATGGATACACTTTAAGAATCGATGGCGGCGGGAACTATAAGCAGTCGAGAGGAGGGTTGGTTTTTCGTCACGTGCTAAGCCACCAGAAGCACACTATGACCCAAGCTACGACCGATTCATCTGAGGTAATAATCGCCAGGATATAGGCTATCTGCCTCGATACCGTATCGGGCGGCTTTGGTCCGACGGCGCCGATGGCTCAGTGCCAATCAAACTACCCATGACGTCATGCATGGGGACGACCCGGCCGCCGCGGCTGAGGCCGTTACGGTGCGCCGGTCGGCCGGTCGGCCGGCCTCGGTAGCCCCAATGCGTCCCTGTCTATCCAGCCCCGACACGTGCTATGGTCAGCGCACCGTTAGATCACCGGCCCGGCGCGTATGTTGTTCCGCATCCGTCGCTCCTCGCCGGGCGAGAGAGAAGGTGTTTGTCTTGGAAACCGCCCGGCAGTTGGCTCCGGTCCTGACGCGGCTTGTTTCAGCAGTGGACCGTGGTCACGCGGTCGGGCGCTGCGGAGGTGTCTGGGATGAGATTGGCTGCCGTTTTTCACAGTTGTGTGGTTTTAGCGAGATGAAGCGACTAGCAGGTGTAGGTGTATGCTTTGAGATTGCGTATTTCTGTCAGGTGGACGGGTTTGATCGTATTCGTCAGATAGAGCGCCTACACTTACGAGTCAAAAAGACGGGCTTGGCATTCAGACAGACTGAATGGTTTGAATCGGCTATTCAACACCAGAAGCTGACGTGGGGCTTATCTTTACGCACCGCAGTAGATACGGTTTCGTGCAAGTGTGCGAGTCGTAAACGGAAGATAAGATGGCGCGTCGATGTGTGTCAGAAATGCGGTATGTAAGGTTCTTGGACATATTGTGTGACCACGTTGATATATCAGATACTAGCAGTCTCGCAATGAATACCTCCAGATAATGTAGCAGACCGGCGGTAGACTCAAGGTGGATCTGTAACCTTGTAAGGCTTTGTGTGGCCAGCCGCCAGATAGGCGAGGGCTTCCACTTATCAGTGGGAATTAATAACCGTAGAATGATTCATGCGGTTAGGTGCAGCGACCTTATACGATCTAGATTGTAATCTGGCGGCATTTAAAGTCGATTGTGGCATCTATTTTTGGGAATATTTGATCTATTTTATTCGACGAGGGCGTGACCCGAAGTCACTGGTCTACCGTAACCCGTTTTGCTGGAGACGTTTTTAATCATGCATCAACTCAGTGTTGTTGACACGCCCTGTTACCAAGCGCCCCGCCTCCCGTCAATGCTGCAGCTGTTTAACTGATGCCACCTCCCTCCCTTCCCGGCCCACCGATGTGTTACAGCTACCGTTTATCAACCGGACCCTGGACAACAAACCGATCCGAGAACTGCTGCTCGAGTACAAGGCCGATGTGGACGAGGGCTTCGAGGATGCCGTCGAAGACGTAAGGATGGGGCGGAGTGGAATTATGACGGTGGTGCTTTGGTTGCCGTTTTGCCAAGATGTCTTGTCTGCTAACTGGTTTTAGTGAGATGCAATCTGTTCTCTGCGGCATTTATAGCTAATACCCAGTCCTTCGTTTAAAACAAAACGACGCCTTGCTGTGAATGACTATTTACTATGTCTACGCCTCTTCACGTATGCGTCGCTTTTTGCTGCCTTGTCTCGTCTGAAACGTGTTGTCTTACCTTTTCACCTGCGTCTTCTGATGCTTTGGAGCCAATGGCGCTTTTCATTCCCATCCCTCATTCCTGCTTTTCGTCGTGTATGCGATAATGTCCCGATTGTGATGAATTGGGATACATTCCATTACATGCTGCTCAGACGCCTGGACGGCGTCGAAAAATCGCAGAAAAAGAGGAAAAGGTGACGTATTATTCGGGAAGAGCTTTGTCACCTTGCACATAAATGGGCCATTCGTGCAGCCAATGCTGATTTCTTAAAACCAGTTTAAGGATGTTGTTATGTATGTTGTATAGTCTTCCTTTTCATCTAACTTTAAAATCTTTTACAGAAAAGCATGTCTTAAAATGACATTTTAGTGCAAAAGTCGGTAGAACAAACCCTTGTTTTGCCATTCCGGTCGGCGGCTTTCTCTGCCGGCGCGGCGGTCACAGCGTTAGTGTCAGCAGTATCACACCCTATGTCCCATTTAACCCTCTCCCTCGCCGTTTTTCAGCAGGAGAGCAGCCGCGTCTCTCGGATGAGCGACTCGGACGCTCTGACGGCTCCCTCCGAGGCAGACGAGGAGAGTATCGTAAACGGGGAGGCCGCCAGCACGGCACAGGCTGAGGACAAGGTAAGGCGGGTGCTACTGGTGCATGCGGATAGATAGCGGTATTTGTTATTGGTAGAATTTGAATGGCGTTTGACGAAAGGGGGCTGATTTTTCTTCCCTGACTAGTGTAGTGTATAATACTTTAAAAATATTGTTTGAATTTCGCCGTTATGAGTGTTTTATTGACAGGGTCTTAGACGTCACCGCAATTAAATCATCGCTTATCGTTGGTTTCTCCTTGTTTTCAGGCGGCCGAGAAATCTACACCTCCAGAAGATCGTCCCAAGTCAGAATCCACCCCTGTTCCGAACGGCGAGGCCGTGTCCCCGGCGAAAGAGCCATCTCCCCAGCCCACCTCACCGTCAGCCACCACCACGCCCAGTAAACCAGCACCGGCTCCGCCGCCTCCGGCCACGCCCACCAAGGAGACCACGCCCCCTCAGACCTCCACACCAGCGGCCAAGCCGGCGTCACCAGCGGAGCCGGCACCGTCACCAGCCGCTCCCTCACCAGTGGTTTCTACACCAGTGGTTTCTACACCAGCGGCCGAGCCTGTGTCGCCAGTGGTCCCATCACAACCATCCGAACCTGCCAAACCAACACTTGACGACCTACCACCCCCACCTCCTCCACCACCCTCTGATCCGGACGACGGACCTCCCTCGCTCCGGCACGCCGACCAGAGACCCCTGGTGGCTGCCGAGCCGGTGGTGGTACAGACTTTCGGCAGCGATGATGGTGGAACGACGAGGGTTATCCTTGGAGGTGGAGGAGCGGATCCGCCCTCGGCCATGGGAGATGGCACCGCCAGAGTGCAGATTGTTACCTCGGGAACAGGTGAGCTGCAGGGTGTCGCTGTCAGCGGGTCGTGTCTGTCTCTAGTCTCGCGGGACGCTGGTTTGTTGTTGATGGTGGTTTTTGTCTTGGTTGGTTGTAACTGGGAAATGAAATCCAATCATGGGAAGTTTGTTCGTCTGTGTACTGTTTCGTCTTTTGAGAAGGTCATGGAAATTAAATGGATGTCCTGCTTCTGTGTTAGAGCTCGGAAAATTGTGTATCATCGTCATATTTGTTAAAGACAATTAATGTCATTGTCTGCTTCAGGGGTATCAGTCTGATGTGATGTACTGCTAATTGGTATATCGTCCTGTTCCGTGTACGTCTAACTGCCCAGTCTCGGCCCGTCCATTGTATTCCTCTGCGCCTGACGCGTGTTATTCCGTGGTCGGCCCGTCAGCAGCCTCACCGGAGCGCCGCCTGGCGCCGCGGCCGCCGTCCGTCCCGCCTGCCGCCGGGACCGCCGCGCCGCCGCCGGCCCGGCCCGGCGTGCTGGTCCTCAGCACAGGACAGCCGTTCACGGGACCGACCACAGCGCGGGCTGCGGCGCCTGTGCCGCCGCCCAAACCATCCCCGTCGCGGTCACCCGCCTCCCCGCCTGCGCCGCCGCCGCCGCCGCCGCCGCCTCCCGCCGACACCTCCGAGCCCACACTGCGTCTGGACGACAGTGAGGTGGTGATCGGGGGAGGAAGCATCGTGTCAGCGCCGCCGCCGGGGCCCGACCCCGGCTCGCGGTTCCAGCTGACCCTGGAGGAGCGGGCCGAGTCGCCGCCGCTGCCGCCGCCGCCGCCCACACCGCCGCGGGTGTCTGTTGGGGGAACGGCAGTCGAGGAGGGAGCCGCGCATGTGTCCGTCATCCAGGTAGAACCGGAAGAGGAGGAGGAGGAGGATTCAGGTGAGGACGAATTGAGGACGCCAGAGCTAGATATAACTGATCCTTCATTCCTCCCTGGGGTCGTGCTTTATGGTCTATGCCTTTGTCATTTGTCTCGATTTGGGAAAGTATCGTGGTCGGCTTTGTGTTCCGCTCGCTCAGCTCAGTTCCGTCCTGCTTATATTTTGATGATCGCTTTATGTTGTTCCCCAGTCAACATAACCAATCGGGTCTAGTTGCAGGCTTTCATTTTCATTTTGGCGTGCACTTACCATAAGGCCGAAAGTTGAAGCTCTACGTATTTTTCGTCTTCCGTATCCTAAACTATTTCACATGTTACGTTATTTTTCAAATAGTTATTGTCGCCTGACATACTCACTGCCGTAATAGTTAGTGCTCAATCCCGTATCGACCTTCCGTCAGGCACGGCCAACTCCTTATCTATCATGCTGGAGGGCACGACGATGGGCAGCTCGGACGTCGATCAGATGGGAGAGGATGACGTCTTCACGCCCGGAAAGGGAGCTGCGCCCGTCCCGGTGAGTGGGGGGAGCTCTGGGGATGGGGTGGAGGCGTCTGGGAGGGTGGGGAGGGGGATGATTGGGGTGGAAATGCTATGCGTGCTAGTTTTGCGATGCTGATGGCTTGTGAGCTAGGATTTGGCATGAGTGCGGAATCGCGCTTTCCCGGTTATTTTCTGCTCACCTGCTAGGATCGAGGATGCTTATGCTTGATGAATCTGGCTTAGCATGGTTTAGATTTAAATTCAAGCTTTGCTATGACTTTCTTGATACTTGCCGCGTAGTAACCGCGATGCAGGATTTAGATGTTCTATTGATTATGCTTACTCTTATCACTATTCGGTTGAATGCATTTCAGTTTCACAAAAACAAAACTATCTGCTGAGTCGATCACTGCCTGTTGTGGCTCAGCCACCACCGCTTGCCACTTTTAGAGCCAGTCTGATGCTTGCCCGGCTATCCTGCCTGTTAACGCCACCCGCCTGCCCCGGCTGACATGCTGCCTGTTCGCTCGCCGCTCCCCACAGTCCAGCACCAGTACCCCGGCCAGTGCGCGCGGCACGGTCTCCCCGCCGGTTGGGAACGGTGGGCCAGCGCCACCCCCGCCGCCGCCACCGCCGCCACCCCCGCCGGCTCAGACAGCTCAGAAGGCTCAGACGCCAGAGAAGGCGGCTCAGACGCCGGAGAGGGCGGCTCAGACGCCAGAGAAGGCGGCTCAGACGCCGGAGAAGGCGGCTCAGACGCCGGAGAAGGCGGGGACGCCAGAGGAGCAGGACGATGAGCCGGTGGTGTACAGGAAAAAGCGGCCGGCGCCGCCGCCATCACAGGTAGCACGGAGGGACAATTGTTTTGTGCTGCAGATCGGACGTATATGGCATGTCTTTTTTTACTTTGGCTCCGACGTAGCCCATCTTACTCAGAGTCGCATGTAGCTCGTCATTTCTTGCACGGCATACTTGCGTGTTCTTTGGCTGGTTATGCTCGGGAGCTTAGTTCATTATATAATGCTTATGAACTTTCGACCTAAATGACACCGTCTATAGAATTAACGTACTGCCATATTTTCTGAAGGGTACTGCGTTTTTGTTACTCGAGTGGAGTCGCCTCCCCTGCTCCCTCCTAACCTCCCCCTCTCCCCCCCCCCCCCCCCTGTCAGGACTCTTCCAACTCATCGAGTGGCGGCAGTCAGTCGCGCTCGTCCACTCTCAGCCGCTCCAAGGAGGAGCTGGAGGCGTCACGGCTGCGCAAGAAAACTCGCAACCGCACGCGGCGCTTCGAGATCGACGGCGTTGTCATGACAACCACGACGAAGAAGGTGTTCTACGGGGATGAACCGCTGATTGACGAGCACGCGCTGCGGAAGGCCGAGCTCAGGGAGCTGAAACTGCTGCAGAAACAGGAGCAGAAACAGATCAGGGAGATGCATGACAAGGTAAGATTGAAGTGGGAATGGAGGACGTGTACTGTGTATGAAAGCATGCGTGAACTCTGTACAACTTTAACTCCAGTCCACACTGTGGAGGATCAAAGTTTTTGATGGTAATGGTGACGACTCAGCCTGCTCAGTTCTGCCGTCTTGACATTTTTGTTTTGTTTTTTAAAGAGATTCACCTGGTTGATCGCAAGGTGGGCTATTTTTAATGACGGACTCACAGTCAGGGTCGTAAGGCTTTGATGCTCCTTCCTTTGCTTTCTGCGCTTTTGGCGCTTATCTCCCGATGCCGAGTGTCGATAATTATATATTTGAATAGGCGCGAATAGAATATATAATATCTTGATCGACCAAAAGCCGAGAATCTTAGGCAACAGTCGCTGCATTTACACTTCACTCTGCTGTACTCTGTCCACAACTCTTGAACTGTATCCAGCCTCCTCGCGCTCTGTACCCCCAGAACTAACCGCCGACTCTCGTCCACAGTCTCAGTTGGCGCTGGACCAGCAGGCGCGCCGGTTCGAGCAGGAGCGACAGCAGCTGCTCCGTCAGCACGACGCCGAGCTGGAGGCGGCGCAGCGGCAGCATAAGGCTCAGCTGGAGCGCTGTGAGCAGCAGCAGGAACAGGAGAAGCGCAGCGTCAGCAAGAAACTGCGGGCCGAACAGGTGCGCGGGCGGGAGGCAGGCGATGGCGGAATGTAATGGGGTAGGCAGACTGGCTGGCAGTTGAAAAGGAATATGGGAAGCGGATGTACTCCGTATATACGTGCTGATTTTGAAAGCGAGGTGTGTGATTTATCATGGAAACAGACTAAATTTCCTCTATGTTATGATCCGTGCGTGTTTGCGTATGCAACTTTGATGACGGCGCTCGAACATATTCCAGAGCTGTTGCGCATATATCAGTTGCATGCGCATCCTTGTCAGGACCGCAACTTTCTTGCAACCTTTTACAAAATGCTATACTGACTGACTCCCAATGGTACCATCGTGATCAGTCTATCCAATGCTCATACGCAAATGTAAAATGCGTGATGAGTGATAGCGGTTTCCTTTTCCGTGTTCCACAGGAGAAGGAGCTGAAACAGTTCCGTGAAGGCCTCCGTGCCGAGGCACGTCTGCTCAAACAGGACGTGGAGCGACTGCCGCGCGCAGAGAGAAAGGAGGCACTGCGAGCCGGCAAGGAGAGACTGGAGACCGAACATCAGGTGAGGGCGGGGCAAGGATGGAGAAAAGGAGATGGTAGATAAAGAAGTTGATGGTGATGATGTGTTGTGGCGGGGTGCTGATTACATTGCCACATTTAAGTGGTTAAGTTTTGTGCATGGCTGAAGTGGACATCGAACTGTGGTGTTACGGTGTAAGCCTGTAGGGACAGTGTATGTACCTTTATCATTTACACTCCACGAATGATGAAATATTTTTATGTAGTGTTATTCAGTTTTGTGAATTGGTAGTGGTGCACCTTTGTTGCTTATAGTGGTCATTTTTACGCTTGGATGGATATTATTTCCATGCTCGAGCCAATCGTCTACCGTGCAATTATCCCCCTCCAGCCAGCCTATATCCCTAACTCACTCTTTCTCCTTCCCCTGTCTCGCCTTTATCAGGAGAAGGAGCGTCAGTTTATCGACCAGCTGAACGAGACTCACGAGGCGGCTCTGCAGCGGCTGGGGGAGCAGCACCGCGCCAGCACCGCACAGCTCGAGAAACAGTGCCTCGAGGAGAAACAGAGGGTCAGTTTGGTGGAGAAAATATTTCGAGGAGAAACAGAGGGTCGGTGGGTTGTAACTTTCTTATGGAATGCGAGCAAGGGTTGTGGAATTGAATAACAGCTTCAGGGGTATTTTTTTTGTGTCGTCGTCTGGGGGATATTTTTTTTTTTTTTTTTGTATCATCATGGAGGACGGTTTCTGTTGAGGAACTGTGAGAAGGTCATTCTCCATAAATATTTCCATTTCAATAATCAACCTCACCAAGCTACCCGAGCCGCGCGGCTCTCCCGTTTTAACCACGTCTGGTTTCCCGAGGGTACTCGCTCCTGGCCCTCCCTGTCTGACATCCTTCCCCACGGCTTCCCTCAGCTGCTGCGGGCGAGGGAGTCTGCCCTCTGGGAACTGGAGGAGCGTCACATCCAGGAGCGGTTCCAGCTCACCAAACAGCAGGTCAAGGAGGTGTTCTTCCTGCAGCGACACCAGGTAAGTACCGCCACGTCCGTAGGAGATGAAGTGACATTACAGAGATGGACGCGCTGACTGTAATGTCTTGCTGTGGTTTTGTGTGGAGTTTGGATGAAGGATGTGGTATGGATTTCCGGAGTTGATAGGACCCAGCAGGGTATATTTCCCGTACATTTAATTAGTGTCATCATCATCAAATACATAACACCTGTTTTCGGTGTACACACATTATATGTACATCCTCTCCTAACCGTCCCGCGCCGCTCCTCAGATGCTGGCGCGTCACAACAAAGAGATGGAGCACGTGCGGCGGATGGGCGACCGTCGAATGGACGAGCTGCGCCGGCAGCAGGCTGTCGAAAAGCGCGCCATGCCCAAACGCATCCGCGCCGAGCGAAAAACGCGCGAGCTCATGTTCCGCGAGAGTCTGCGCATTGGCGCGCCGCGCAGCAGCATCGCTGACGTGGAGACCAACGGCCGCGACCCGGTCAAGGCGTTCCAGGACCAGGAGGAGAAACGGTGAGTGGCTGGGGGAGGTGGGGAAATAGAAGGTGCGTAGAAAATGGGAGATGTTTGAAGTTGCTTTTGTGTTTAGAGTATAGGAAAGATAATACCGCATAGTGAAGGATATTAGAGCGACTAAGTGGACTAGCAGGCCGGGCGCCAGTTTGGTTTTGAGGCTTTGGCTAACGTTTTAGAGGCTTTGTTTTAGATTCAGTTTCATTCACTGAGCGTCTGGTGTCTTTGTTTCGGCCCAAAGCGATGCGATTTTCCCCATAATGGGCTATAATTCGACGAGTCGGCATCAACTCGATATACAAGCGGTACCCATCCAATATTGTTTCAACCACGCATAACCTAGAAACCACAGATAAGCCTCTTGCCCTAACTACCAGCCCGACATGACCTCACTTAACCCAACCAGACGCGACCTGACGTCCTTGTCCACGTGACCCGCAGGTACAAAGCGGAGCATAAACGGTTCGAGCTCAAACAGAAGAGGAAACAAGAAGAGCTGAAGGCCGTCAGCGAGGCAGCCATGAAGGAGTTGGAACAGGTCCACAATGAGAAACGTGAGTCAGTGGTGTTCAGTGCAGCCGGCGAGTGGCATTGGGACGACCAGCAGCCTGGTACATGAGCATGTCTGGTAGACGTTATGGTGTTGTTATCACAGTTTGTGTTGTCCAACTGCTCACATGCTCATATGCATGTCATGCTAATGTCCTCTCGCTGTCCCTCTTTGTCGGTTCTTCGATGTCGTTGGAAGTGTGTGCTGCCGTACAAAGGAAGAAAGCCGTAAGCGCCACTTTTACCGAAAATGAGTTATTGGTATCATTGGAATCGTCATGTTATTCTGCATCTAACCATATACATTACACAGATATTAAATGATTTTATACCAAGTTATACAAGAATAAAATATTTCAAAATAACCTTATGTCACATAAAGCATTTTATAATACTGGCAAATAAACGTATCTTTGACAAAAAAACGTATGATCAACGAAAAATCGGCTAAAACTCGGAGTAACCATGGATAAAAGACGCAAGTGCTCAGTTACGTTTATTTGCCACCATACATTGTCAACATGGTACAACGGAAAATAAACTTACAGATGGATATACGTTTATTTGCCTTGGTAGAAACCGAAAAAATGCACTTACGTTTATCTTCCATTCTGGAAAGGATTGTCCGACAATTTCGGCCAGCCGTATGTGGGCGTATACGTTTATTTTCCTGGTCACCCTGCCGAATTTCTAATGGCAAAAAGACGTACGATGGACTTACGGTTTTTATCCATTGTCAGTATACCCGTCCCCAAGCAAAATGGCAAGCTCGATGGACATACGTTTATTTGCCATAGCACCTGGAGGTTCCTGGAGGCCGGTGCCGGTGCTGGCCCCCGCGGCCGAGGCACCGTCCGTGCCGGGGCTGGCCCCTGTGGCAGGACCGCCGCCCGTGCCGGTGCTGGTCCCTGTGTCAGGACCGCCGCCCGTGCCGGTGCTGGCCCACACGGACGAGGCACCGTCCGTGCCGGGGCTGGCCCCTGTGACAGGACCGCCGCCCGTGCCGGTGCTGGCCCCCGCGGCCGAGGCGCCGCCCGTGCCGGGGCTGGATCCCGTGTCAGGACCGCCGCCCGTGCCGGGGCTGGCCCCTGTGACAGGACCGCCGCCCGTGTCGGTGCTGGCCCCCGCGGCCGAGGAGCCGCTCGTGCCGGGGCTGGCCCCTGTGTCAGGACCGCCGCCCGTGCCGGTGCTGGTCCCCGCGGCCGAGGCGCCGCCCGTGCCGGGGCTGGAGCCGGTGCTGGCCCCCACGGCCGAGGCGCCGTCCGTGCCGGTGACTGCGGTGCTGCCGGCGTTGGCGGTAACACTTCCCACTGGCATTGACGGTAGCGGAGACCACGCGGGAATGGGCTCCATCCAGGGAGCAGAGACAAGCATGGACACATCCTGGGGCATCGTCTTGGATGATTCAGCGGTGGAACTGGACGATATCAATATGCTGTGCGCCATTGGCTCCAGCATGGACATGGACGCAGGTGAAACGTCCATCACTGGCGATGCAACGAACGGGGACTATGAACCTGAGCGATATTCCCAGAACGATGCCGGAGCTAGCAGTGCACCAGTACCGACCACACCAGACGACCAGACGCACACACCTGACGACCCGGCGCACACATCCCCGAGGAGACCTCGGACAATGGAACAACAGATACATGCATATGCTGCGAAACATGCTGTATTATCCCCGCCGCCTGCGTGCGCTGATGGACGCTGTCCCAACGGTTGTGCCGAAAAGGTCAGTGAAACTGACAGGCGCAGGATAAACAAAGAGGTAAACAACATGCCAACTGAGGTAAGAAGAGAGTGGATCTGTGCCCACGTGATGGAACTAGATGTAAAGCGCTGCCGGAAGCGTAAGGCAGAAGAGGGTGGTGACACTGGAGGCTCTAGGCGGAAGAGGACGAGGGAATGGTATCTCCCGTCAGACCGGAGGAAAATCAAGGTGTGCAAGGGATATTTCCTTACCTCACTGGGGATGAAACCTACCAACGACACGCCGGTGCGGAATGCGCTGGAAAGGGAAGACATGACGGCGGTTGCACCCAAGGACAGACGAGGTGACAGCGCAGCAGCCAACAAGTGTGACCGCGAGGCCATAAAGGAGCATATCATGTCCTTCGAGCCCGCAGTGCCGCATTATAGATACCTCCATGCGCCGAACAGAAGGTATCTTCCGCCCGAACTGTCTGTATGCAAGATGTACAGGGACTTTAAAGCCAGTCGTGAGAGTGCATGTTCTTTTGAAACGTACCGGAAGGTCCTCAAGGACCTCAACATCGGCTTTACGCACCTGTCCGGGGAGGAATGTGAGACCTGCAAGCTTGAAGCTGCACGCGGTACACAAAGGAGAGTGCAGCGAGACGGAAGGCGACGGCGGATGCGAGGTCTGCACAAGACACAGAGGTCACATGGCACAGGCTCGACGAGCAAGACAGGAATATCGCTATGATGCCGAACGCGACTGGGACGACAACGAGCTGGTGCTGAGTGCGGATATGATGAAAGTTTGCATGCTTCCAATCCTGCCGCACAAGACCTGTCTCTTCACCAGACGCATCGTGGCGTACAACGAGACATTCAGCTTGATCCAGTCTACTGACAAGAGGAGGAGCAGGGCAAACAAGGAGAGAGGCCTGGCGGTGCTTTGGCACGAGGGGGTCTCAGAGCGAAAGGCGGGTGACGTAGCAAGCTCCTATCTGGCCCTCATCAAGGCCAACCGAGACACGAAGCAGTTCACCATCTTCTGCGACAACTGCTCTTCGCAAAATAAGTGCTGGGTGGTGCTGTCAGTTCTCCTGCATGCTGTGCAGTCAAGTGACCTGGCTGTTCAGCAAATCACGCTGAAATCTCACCACCGGACATACGGCGATGTCAGCAGACGCCGATCATCAAGTCATAAACAAAAGCATAAAGCGAAAGAAGTCAATCGAGGATTTCAATGACTTCGTTGAGACTGTCGCAAGCACGGGCCTGCGGGTGAAGAACATGAGCGGCACAGACTTCGTCGAGGCGGAGAACGTGTTCAGTGAGGCGAAGATTCGCTTACTCCAGGGCATAGAGGCACGCCCGTATCTCCGAGACTTCCAGGTGGTGCAAGTGAGGAAAGGGTCAGGACTGCTCTACACAAAGAGCAGCTTCGACCAGAGTGACTGGAAGACGTACAACCTGCTCAAAGCCAAAGTCAGCATCGACCGTCCCCTGAAGATGCGGGAGAAGGAGCGGTGTGTCAACAAGCAGAAGATCGACCAGCTGTGCGACAACCTGCTCAGCTTGATCAGCAGCCACAAGCGGTCCTTCTGGGTGACTCTGAAGGAAAACGCCAAGACGAGTGTGCGGGATCTGATTGGCTAGGCAGACGAGAAAGCAATACACAGGCTTGCAGACTCGCAACGCATCGAGGACCACGCAAATGATTCAGTTAGTCGCGAAGGACTTGTCGAGTCCGTTTTTCTATTATCCCGCATTCGATTGCGGTACACGAGTTTCAGTTGTTCGCGGGTGAATTGTTAGGCCCGTTGTTGTTACCCCGCATTCGATTGCGGCACACAACATTCAGTGGGTCGCGGATGGATTTTTAAATCAATTTTATTGTTACCCTGTATTTGACTGTTCTCTGCCAGTGAGTACTCAGTCTGGCTGTTCTGTGCAATGACAGCCGTCACTGTGACTGTCACTGTCACTGTGACAGCTCTGACTGTGCAGTGTTTAATACACATATTGTTATATTCAATATCACCCAAAGTTCACAGCACCCTGTTGTTTTACAGCTGTGCCTGAATACACGCCATTGTGTGATTTTCAATACATCTTCATTCATTCATTCATTCATTTCTTTCACTTCCGGTGGAGCATACGTCTTTTTTATGGTCGTTTTGGCGAAGCGTGGACAATATCGACAAAGGGCAGAAAATCGGACAGTGGACTTACGTTTCTGATATAGTCAGTAAGATTGCAATAGCCAGGAAGCACCCAAAATAGAAAACGTATGTTGTTAGATACGGTTTTATGCGCGTAGATTATTAGTCATGGTGACCAAGGCAAGAAAACGTATAGGAACCGTATCCGCCACCTTCCGTGTCGGCTGTGACTTACGTTTTTTTGCCTCGACATTTTTCTCGAGATTGGGTTAATACGCAAAGGCAATTAAACTTTTTCGAAGTATCTCGATAGGTTTATATTTTTAAAAATAAAATCATATACCAATGTCATGCCCGTTCAAAGGCGGTTATTTTGATACCCAATTTACACAAAAGAATGCAGCAAGTTTTCATGTGTTGCGCAAAACACGAAAAAATGCTCTCCTGTAAAATTTGTTCAATGGCGCTTACGGTTTTCTTCCTTTGCACGGCAGTGTGATGTACCTGACTCCAACTTCACCTTTCGCAATACGCATAGCTGCCTTTTTGGAAACGCTACTCCCTTTTACATTACGGTGGATACGATAGATGTCTTCGCGCGCTCGCTGAGTTGTTTTGACGCTGACTTTTCCCTCGACCAGGGCGCATGCTCATGGACCATGAGAACACGAAGCTGCGCTCTGCCGAGGAGGCTCATCAGGCAGAAATGAAGCAGTGGAGGCAGGAGCTCAAACCGCGCAAGCAGGTAGGGTTATTGGGTTAAATGGGGTCTGAGACAGGCCCGGTGTCTTATATAACATACTGACGATGGTTTGAAGTGTAAGGTTCCATAAAGAACTACGTATGGGAGCTAACAGGCCTCACGAAGAGGTCTCATTTCCTGAAATCCTTCAAATTCAAAGTTAAAGTTAGCTTTAGAGTAGGAGCCTGTTCCGTAATCCGTGGCAGCATTGTTGCTTTCGACTTGCTGCAAAACTTACGTTAGGATTTGTTGCTATCGGGAATGGTGAGCGTCTCTTTCGGAAATGAAATATCTTTAGTGGTATAAAGTTTGCGATTAGTATTCATTTAGCTATGCTGCTCTTCATACCTTTCCCGATTCCACATTTTCTCCTACACTTCCCATCTAACCTCCCCTTCCCACCTCGTCAGAAACTGGAGGAGGCTTTCGCGGCCGAACTGGAAGAACGGGAACGCTTCTACGCCGACCCATCGGCCGGTGACCGGCTGACCTGCACACCGCTGGCCGACGGAACGGCCAGCGTGAGTCGCGCTAGCACGGGCAGCGCTGGTCGCAGCTCGGCCAGCGGGGGGAGCGTCGGCCGGGCCAGCGTCACCAGCGGGCGGTCGCACTGAGACTGAGCGTGGACAGGGGTAGGATGTGGGATGTAGACGATGAAAGTGGGGATCGCAAGGACGTCGGGAGACGAAGATAGGTGTGTTAGAACACCAATCTGGTGCTCAAGGAAGAAGGAAGAGACGCTCCAGCGTCCGAAAGATATACTGAAGACATTCTGAAGGGCCGTTGTGGCTTATCGAAGCTTAAGGCGTCTGAAAGAGACGTCAATTGAAGATGATATCGTATATTCGATGTGCCATGAGCTGCAGGGGACACTAGAGCTGATATGGGGAGTAATTTGGGTGTGAATTAGTGCCAAGTTTGTCGATACCGGTGGTGGTGTGCGATATTGAGTGAGCGGTGGTGAGTTCAGTGAGAAGAGCTGGTCCAATTTCTGCAGGCAGTATCGAGTACGGTGCGCAAGTATAAAAGGGAGAGAGATCGGCGTCGAATCGTCCAAGCCATGCAGTATGTGGACAAGACTTCCGCGTATGCGGGATAACGATCACTGGCGCTGGATCGAAAGTCGCGAATCGAGTTCAAATAGTCACCATAGTGGTATACAGGGTGTCTCAAAAGTTCGTTCACAGGTACCAGCCATGCTTTTTTGTCAATAATTCTGAATCAACTAGAAATTAACAGTCGAAATTTTGCATGGGCATTGGTGACAACCTTCCTCAAGCAGTCTCATTGTTTTCAAGTGCATTCGACCCTTCATGAGCTCACAAAAAGGGTTCACCTCTGACCATGGATCAGGCACGAAAATGTAGGTTGCAAAGTCGGGTATGTTGTGAAACTCTCTGTTTCAGGAGTAATGGGAATGGTTAAGTCGGAAATGACACATGGCTAAGTGTCGGCGAGGATGAGCGCAACATGATGATCATCTCATAAAAACGGTGGCTAAAATTTTTGAAGGACGAAACCATGCGAGACTAACGGCGTTTTGAACGACCCTCGCACGACAGCAGACTCGTGTTCCGGAAAGCAGCTGAAAATGCGGTCATAACTATGGAAAACTGGCAAGAAGGTCACAGACAGAGGTTACCCATTTTCAAAAAGTGCAGGTCATCGTAAAATAAAGACAAATTATAATTTAAAATTGTTTATAATATCTATAACGCTAATTATTGGGGACAATAACACAAAAATCGTCAATGCCAAGGACACCTGACCCTCCAAAAGTGTCAGTTATTGTAAAATTTTATCTAACGAAGTTTCAAGAGGCAGATCTGCAGCGAATAATTTTCTTTTAAACACAAAATCCCGATAAAACCACACGTTGGACAGGTTTGGGCCGTTTACAAAGCAGAACATCTCCCGAGTAAAACACTCCGCAACCGAGCGAAGGTCTTGGCATGGGGAATGACGAGCGCTTGGAATTTGCAAAATTTGCACAATGTGTCTGAGAAACAGACGTCCGACACATTCTGCTACCATATGATGCGAAAAATTTACTCCTGGTACTTCCCGTTTGTTCAGGACTGGGGTCGTTTTGAAAAGGAAAATGGCGCTTGGGATGTCGGCGCCAGTCATTCATGAAGGAGTTAGCGCCAGATAATGCCTACAAAATACTCAAGAATGGTGCCGATGCAAGCTGTCGGCTTTCAGGGAAAATCAGATGTTGCCGGGGAGCTAGTCAAAACTAAATCCGACGCAAAAACTGCAGGGGATTCCCCTGCAAGAGCTTGAAAGCTGGTAACCTTTTATCAGCCTCCGGCAGCTGACGGAGCAACAAAAATCGGTATGGGCAAATATTTTTGGAGATACAACAAAGGGGTTGGTTTCCAACCTTCTTAATCAGTTGTCAAAGCATGCATATTTGTCTAGTGTACACACAGACACCAAAACCTTATACTTTTGGCCGGTTCTTATATGCTTTATTGGCATGGGAAATGTGTGAACGAACTTTTGAGACACCCTGTATATTTCGTGAGTGAGTGAGTGGGTCCGGGAGTGCGCGGTGGACTATGTTGCGGGGAACTATTCGTGCTAAGTGAGCGAGTGATTGAGTGAGTGAGTGGGGAGTTCAGTCCCCAGCGGTGCTTCGCTGCTCGCGCGGACAGAGCTGGACTGCCGCTCGCAGGCGACTCCCCGGACCGCGGGGTCTGCGGCGGTCTGCGTGCCGCGCCGCGCTGGGGTGATGGCTCTAGTCGAAGGCCGGCGGTGCGGGCAGATCCCGCCACTGGTGGCTCTAGTCGGGTACCTATTCCGGGCGGCTGGGAGGGCGCTCAGACGCCGCCCCCGCCCCCGCCCCCGCCGCCGCCCGGCGCTCTGCCCACGGCGGCGGCGGCGGCGGCTCCGTGCCATGGCTGAAGGCCGGCTGTGACCTGACCTTACGATGAAAGGCACGAGCTTCGCGCTGCCGCTGCGATAGTGGCGCCTCTACCGGCAGCGGCGCGCAACTGGCAATCAACCCATGAAGACGGTGCTTTTTCCGGAATCGAGCCATATATCGCATATATCGCGCCTGCAATAGCAAGAGTGATTGTCTCAGTGATATCGGCGCGTATTTAGATAATTTTTAGTGCTTGTGATACGCTGTGTCATGAACGCATTTACATAAACTTATTTCTAGGCGAATACGATAGCGGATCTGTATCCCAATGGGTGATTACCGTAAACGAATGGACCCGTAGCTTTAGCTTTAGCTCGGCTTGCATCGATGCGTGGAGTACCTTGATGCCGTGCCCCGGGCATTCTGCATAAGCCATATGCGAGCACACCTACATGTGTGTATGTATGCATGTATATCTTGGCGATGGGGTCGCCTTATTGACACTTGTCAGCTCACTCCGGTGTCTTCCGGCCGGCGGAGCCGCGCCGTCGACGACGCCGTTTCATAATAAAGACTGCTGGTCGCTCTGTGAGATGGTGCTGTTTGTGGTGAGCCTGCCCCGGAGGGACCGTGCCCAGCATATGTAACCGCTCCATTCAGCTGACTAGTTCAGCCAGAGCCTGCTTAGCTACTGCCTCGAACATTGCCACGGGCATCAGGAGTATCAGCGATAGTCCGCAAGCCTGGTCATCCAACCTGGTCATGTTTTGTTTTTGTTTTTCGCTGGACCATGCACTTTTTCTTACTGGAATTGAACATACGCATGCGGGTTCCTGCGTTCATCGCATCGGCAGCAAATATGATCTTTATCATTTAAATGTCTCGTATGAAATATGAAAATATTGGTACTGTATGCCACTGTATCGTGTATGCGGTATGCCAGTTTATCTAGAAGCTGGAAGGGCTTTGTGCACATCACATCTGCATACAAACTTTTGAATTAGTGACGGCGTTCGAAAGGCAAAATCGTAGCAAATATGACGCAGCTGCGACATTCAAATTCCCACATTCTTTGGAAGGCTTAGATCATTTTTGCGTAATTTTGGAATGATTTACGCAATTTAGCCTAGGTTTGCACAATTGAATTTGTAACAAATAAGTGTTTATTCAGGCTTAGTATGAGTGAGTGCATATAAATGGTTGTGTTTTGCGTTTATAGGGGAATTTGTTAATGCGGTGAATCGTATCGATTCTGAGGCAATAGGTAATATCCAGATTTAAGATGCCATTTGTTGTTATTTCTGGTTTCCCTGCATCTGGAAAGACTACTAGAACGAAAGAGCTTCTTGAATTTATGAAAAAGGAATGGCCAAAAAATGTAGTGGTGATATCTGAGCATGACTTTGTGAAGGATCAAGACAAGGATTACACATATTCATGTGAGTAACATGCTTAGGGTTGTCAATTTGTGTCTTATGTTTGCTATGTTATGTACTTCTTGTTAACTTTTACCTCTTCACAATTTGACAAAACTGCTGAGAAACAGGTGTCATCAAAAGAAAGGATCTGAATGAGAAAACGACCTTGTTAAAAATCTTGCGAAAAGGACTGTTGTCTAGGGACTTTTTCATGGTGGCATTAGTGACAGCCCTTCCTAATGAAATGCATGTGCTACTAATGCCAAGCTGTCTTATCTAACTTGCATTCTTATTTTCAGCCTCTCAGGTTGAAAAAGATGTTCGTGGAGCCTTGAAAGGGGAGGTTATCAGGTGTGTGGTATCAAAATGTTCTTAACAGTTAGGTTCCCATTTTTAGATTTCTGAAGTGGCAGTCAATTTGTATAATTTTTTAATAATTCCACAAGCTGCACATTCAAATCAATAATCTGTGATATATAATTTATTCTGAAAGCCATGCCCTGGATCATGCCATGATAAAAGTGCAGTTAAGATATTGAATGCCTTATCATTATGTTGCAGGAAAATCTCCAAGGATGACATAGTGATTCTGGATGGTCTGAACTACATCAAGGGCTTCAGGTATGAGCTGTTTTGCATCAGCAAGAACTGCAGGACACCTCAAGTAACTGTTCACTGCATCATCAATCCTGAGCAAGCTTGGAAATGGAATGAATCCAGGCCTGAGAGTCAAAGGTAATTTTAATGAGATGGTTTATTATTGTTTAAGCTTTTATATGAAGTGAGAGGTTTTTAAGTTTCTGAAAAGTAAGAACTATAGAAATGAGAATATATCTTGGGTGATAGTGTCCAGAGGCGAATCCAGCTCAGAGTTTTGAGGGGGGGGGGGGCAAACCATAACAATTTATCGATTCTATCCATGTCTCGTCCATAGGCGTAATGTTAAAATTATGCTGTTTGGGGGGGGGGGCAAATGCCCATTTTGCCCCCCCCCCCCCCTGGATCCGCCACTGATAGTGTCACCATGACAGTTCTGCTGCTGTTCTTACATTTTGTGATGCTTGAACACCCTGTTAGCGTTCATCCATCCTTTTTTATTGGCATTCTCTCAGCACAGCTGCAAAATAATAATACTGTACCCACATAAGCTTTTAACATGTAATGTCATATCCTCACCAGTTCTGTCCACGATCTCCACTTCTCAGTGACCCATCCCACAACCAGTTATGGGACACATCAATGACGATGTCATCACGTGACCCCCTGGCTCCCCCTCCGTACCCCAGGTACAGCCGAGCGGTGTTTGACGGCCTGGTGATGCGCTACGAGGAGCCCGACAGTAGGAACCGCTGGGACAGCCCGCTGGTCACCGTTCAGGCCGACGACCTCACGCCGGCTGAGGCTGTACTGCAGGCGCTCCGGGCGGCGCCCGCGCCCAAACCCAACATGTCCACACAGAATGTGAGCGGCGGGAACGGTGGGGTCATATCGTCGAAGTGTTGTGGTGATAACTTTGAATTGGTGTTCACCGATTCAAAGATATTTTCTCCTTGAAACTTTATCGAATGTCGCAAGCAAATGCAAGGGTATCACAGTTGAGGCGGTATCTGACGATCTCCGACCTGTTTCAGCCCATGCTGGCGCCCACCGACTTTCTGTTTGAGCTGGACCGGCGGACGCAGGACGTTGTCAAGGTAGGTAACCGGGGCAGAATGGTGTTCAACTGTTCAATGACGGATGATGTATAGTTCACCGGCCTGTATTGGACCTAGTTGGTTCACCGGTGGTAGTGTTTCTCGGTGATTGGGCCGCGCTACCATTTTCGACTTACCTTATACCCTCCGTTATTTTATCGGGCAACAATTTAATTATGTTCTTACATAGTTGATAGTATATATTGTTTACCGATGACTGTTTTTGACGTGGTCAGTTTAGTGCTACCGTCTGATTTCTGCTAGATTAATCGTTGATACATCATTTGGATTGAAGATCCACACTTTCATGAATTTATCTCATCTCGTGTAACCAATTATGTGGCCTGCCCTCTGACTCCTCCGCCCTCCCCCACAGGCCATCGTGTCGGCGCAGGAGTCGGCCATGGAGGGCGACCAGCTGCCCGTGACGGGTACCTCCGAGCGGTACACGGTACCCTCCACCGGCCGGCTCACCCTGGCCCAGCTGTCCCGCGCGCGCAGACAGTTCGTCTCCTACCTGAAAACACACCCGGCCGACCCGGCCAGTATACCTACTCTGTTCGTGCAGTACCTGAATAATACGGATCGGTGACCTGGAGGTTAGCGCTTATGTCAGGGGCTGGGGTGGGGATGACGTGGGCCGGAAGGGGCCGGTTTGGATATTTTGGAATGTACTTGAGGCGTTGCGGTCTTGTCAGCTCGCGTATGGTGTGAATCTTTATAAGAATGCGGCGTCTCCGATTACATCAACTTTTTGCCATCTTAGCCACCGGCAATGGCTGATCATCCCTCGTTCATTTACGCGGGCGACACCACGTTATACGGCCCTTATCTGATGATGTGATGACAGATCGTGGTGGGTATTGATGCCGTTTATTAGCTAAAATACTATGCGCTCATTGCAATACAGCATGCAACTGTGCAACGACCACTCTGTGAAATAATCTCAAAATACGCCGTAGCTGTTCAATATAGGGATTTCACACGGTCGATGCGTAAAACAATGTTTCTAAACCACGTCACGCGAAGAACAGACATCCCACTGCAGCATTAGTGACCCGATTTGTGGCCCAGTCAGACAGCACGCGAGGAAACGGCGCTTGTACCTCGTGCATGGCAGCGAAACAGTTCACAACAACACGGTCCTGGAGCCTGAAGTATGCACATATGAATGCTTGAACGCAAGACGGTAAAATTGCGTTCGTAAAGGACATGATAGTAAGCCGCTTACCGGTAGCAAGAAGAAGCTGTATGTATATATGCAGGCCAAATTATCGATTATCTTCACGGTGCATATGTAAAGTGACGTCGAACACAGTCTCAAACCAAAAGCCCATCACCTCTCCCGATGGGTTGCGACTTGCGACTCTCATCGCGCAGAATTGCGAACACTTACGATGCACGCCTTCTTCCACAAAGCACCAAAAAGCGACAACACCAACCGCGCTGTCTCCTGAGATGACGAGGCACCACTCGCAAAAGCCTAATTGGTGTCCGCATTATGGTCTCAGAAAATGGCACAACAGAACTGGTTCGGCAAAGTTCAGCAGTAGCACCGTCGTAGCTGGGCCTCGCGCGTCGTCCATCACTCGTCACTATCGATGCGGGCATCACCTAGAGACGCGCCGTGAAGATCACTCGCGGCGCAGTAGCGGCCACTATAAGTAGACCGGGCGAGCTCACGATCCCACAGCGACTCCGGAGTCCGGGCGACTCCAGGATCGGTCCCGGACTACCCCGGAACTCCGGGTCGGTCCGGGCTACTCCGGGGTTGGTACGGGCGGCTCCGGGATGTTAGTCGGGCGGCATGTATGTGTGCGGCTGGAACTTCTCACGAATGTGAGGCCGCACGTCCTCGTTCTGAAACAGCACAGAGACAACAGTGAGCCATGGCAGCAGGTGTGGGTCGATTGCATGATACAACGAAGACAGCTGAAAGCAGCAAGCACACTACGGGTCAAATCATTATTCAGTGGGGCCTCAGGAGCCATTAGTTTACACCGCGGGACCCCTGCGGCCGGAGGAACTGACACTAACAACAGGTCAATCAACAATACATCGTCTGCGGTAGTTCCCTCCTTATCCATTTGTCTTTGTATTATGCTTACCAAGGTGTGCAGGTTTTCTAGGAACGGTATCAGTTTCAGCAGCTCAGAGTCCTCCTTGTCGGTGTACCAGCTCTCGATGGGGATGCCGTTCTCATACTGGAAACAGAACAACGTGGTCAACATAATTGCGAAGGAAAACTGCTGTGTGTAAAGTAGCTCTCTAATGGCTCGATTCATTTCGAACTCCCTTCTATATTTTTACTTCCGTGAGCGTGTGTGCCGACTGTTATATGTTATAGCCACCTTTGCCTCGTCTCGTTCGAACCTCTTTTTGTTCGAGGAACGGTACCCAATTCCAATCCCCATCCTCACGCGCGGTATATATCCTAGTTCCGGCGTCCCGTATCATTGGCGAGGGCGACTATACCCCCCCCCCCCATCATCCTCGTTAAAGACAGACACAGGGCCGATGGTCGGTACCTGATAGCCGAAGGCCTCTGGCGAGTTGTCGATGATGATGGTGCGGGAGAGGTCGCGACCCAGGATGTTGAGGTCCTTGACGTAGGTGCCGTTCACGCAGACGCAGTGGTCGCGGAACAGACGGTACCTGACGACGGGCAAAGGCGGGGTCAACTCCATGAGATGGGGCGAGTTATGTACAGGGACAAGAAGTAAAATCCCATATGGCAATATATTCTGAACGGGGATGATAGTTAACGTACCACACTCGAATTTAATGGAGAACTACATCAATGAAACGTTATTATCCAATCCGTCATGGATAATCAACAAGCAATAAAGGCGGGATCTACGCTACGTTAGCCAAATCTGCGCTGACAAGTCAGGTGTCACGTACTTCATTTTTTTTTAGGGAAATTGGCATTACGCAAGATGGAAATCGGACGGTATGAAGCATGGCCCAGCTAAATAATTTACGAGATCGAAACCAGCAATGGGAGTGATTAAGTCGAAGAAACGCTACTGTGAGCACCCACGCCTCACAATCCGTATTCACGTACTTGATGAGCTTCCTCTCGGGGTCCAGCAGGTTGACCAGCTTGTCGGCGTACACCTTCTTGGAGGCGGTGAACAGGATGACCTCGAACAGGTCCGAGACCCGGTCTAGGAACTCGTGTATGAAGGGCCGCGTGCGCACAAACACCTCGTACGACACGCCTTGGAAGAGCACCGGGAACGTGAACGAGGCGTCGGTCATCTTCTGCAGACTGCAGTGGACCAGCGTCTCGTCCTACCGGAGAGAGAAGAGACGAAAAGATTGTCAGGGGAAGGTCGAAAAGGGTAGCACGATAAGCGGGAAAGTGATAACGTCATCAACATGCGCAAGTAGCGACCACCCACCATGACCATCCCCCAAAACACAGCACAGCCTGCCACTTGATTAAAAGAAAAAAAATTGGCAGCATAAAATGTTGGCAAACACACAAATGACAATGACGACGCAAACAAGCAGTCTGCGTAAAAAGCGCCGAACTCACAAATAATCGGTGACTCATGAAAATTAAGAAAATAAAACAAAAATTAACATGAATAGACTTAAAAATTCCAGTAGCACTGCATCAAGAGTAAAATACATGAAAGGAAATAACAAATTTCAATTGAAAAGCGCAAAGCATGCAGACGTAAAATCGCAGTGACCTCGTATAGTTCGTTCAACTGGGTTGTCATTGAAATTCACTAGACTTCAATGTTGATGAAACTGTGAATTCCCTCTCCTACGTTCTCCGCAGTGTGACGTCAGCCATATCTCCTCAATCTGCCCTTGACAGAGCCTCTGGTACTATAACTGTCCCTGACATTCAGCAATGCCACAGAGGTTAAACCAGTGGCCTACCAGGCCTCCAGTTGCATTTTGATGCTTCGCAGATATATGCTAAGAAGGTCAAATGAATATTTGTTCTCGTCGTGGCATATATCACGTAGGGAGCGAAAGAGGCGCCTTGACTTTGATATATTCGGAAATATATATGGCTGTTGACTTCTTTGGAGGGAATCAAAGCTCTGTCCTAGGGGAGTCCCAGTATTCCTCGGAAGCGATGAATGAATGCAAAGAAACCATGCAGAGCGAAATGATTTACATACCAGCTACGCAAAACATATAGACGGATGCTGGAAAACATGAATTTCAGCGTTCCTAAAAACAATCAAATGGCGACTCGACAAAACCTTCATACTAAAATAAAAAATAGCGACTCGACAAAACCTTCATCCTCAAATAAAAATAATCAGGGCTCCATTCCCTCACCACAACGACCATACAGACTATTCTACAGGGCACAGAGGCGTATAAACCGACCAGCAGCACCACCATGACTCACCAGATCCAGGACCAGTGTGAAGTGCGGACTGCTGCGCGTCTTCAGCGGCAGCGCCGGGTGGCGGGCCCGCATCTCGGGCGTCAGCGGCGGTAGGTGCTTGATGAAGTAGTAGGCCTCGAACATGCTGTCCGTGTAGTAGTCCGTCTCCTCCTCTCCATCTTCTTCCTCTTCCTCCTCTTCATCCTCTTCTTCTTCTTCTGCTTCGTCCTCTTCAGGTTCACGGGAGCGGTATTCGGTGGGAGCCGACACACAGCCTGTGGCATAGCGATAGAAGAGCGTCAGAAATCCGCAGCGGGGATCGGTAAGGCTTGTGGAAAGAAATGCTCTTAGGCTGCTCTTAGGTTTATGGCTTCAAGGCTGAGCGCATATTATCCCGACAAATATTGTCGGGATACCGTATTGATGTGTGAGACGGGAATGGCGTGACCGTCGGAACTACGAAGTCAACCGCGCCCGCCGAGGCTTCCGGAACGAAACAGAACTTCCATTCAACGACGCAGTAACATACTTATCACAGAGCTTACAGATTTATTAGAAACATGCGCAATTCTAGGCCACATTCAGACTTAACTCGTAATTACTAGCGGCGCAATACTTCCTAGCAAATAAATCCCACGTGGTTAGTTGGGACTTTACTGCATAGCGACGAAGGAAAATGTTGTTGCATTTTTATACGGAAAACAGGAACCAGTACAACCTTGCTTCGATGTGTAAACACCTCTTTTACGAACATGTTAATCGGAGAACTGGAATCATGATGCAGAGTGTAAATAAGTACAGCCCGAATACTTGAATCGGTGGCTTGTGCTTTGATAATTTGTGATTTAGGGGAGCCCGGCCTTCCGAGGTCATCGGCGTTCATGGCCTATGCTCTGACTAGGCAGGAAAAAAGAAGCAAATTGAACGGCCCAGAGACCAGAGCGGACTCCCAAAACGCCGCTATACCGTCGACCAACAGTTGTTAAACAGTTGTTGCGACAGTTCATGAACCTTTAGCAACAGCGGGACCACACCCCCTTCCACCAGCCCTTGCTCACCGACGTCACCGGCGGCTGAGGTGACCTGCGGCTGTGCCGGCGGCGGGGCTCTGCTGTTGTGCTGGTCAGGGGCCACCTGCTGCAGAGGCTGGCGCCGTGGAGCGGCCGAGCAGATCAGCCGGCTATCAGCCGCCCCCGCCTCAGCCGGGGGCTGCTTCAGGGCTGTGTAGTCGCTGGTCGAGGATGGGTCTTGGTTCTCCTGTGGGTGACAGGGTGGGGTGGGCGTGAGCGGTCTGATGTGGCGTCTGCGCATTGCAAAGATGTAGGTACACAGAACGGTCGTGAGTGGGGTGTATGTACATACCATGTCCTGGTGTTTGAAAGGTAACTTTTGTCCGAAGTCAGTGTAGCTCTTTCTCACCGAATTTTATTGTCAATTAACTTATAAATGTGATGAGGATTACATCGGTGATCGAGTGTTAAGTGCGAACAACATTCGACGCGACGAACAGCGAAAAGATGAATCAGAGAATGAATCACTTCACGGGATAAAAGTCCAGGGATGCGGAGCCGTGGAAATTTCAGACGGCTCCGGCTCCGGCTCCGGCTCCGGAGAAAAAAATCGGCTCCGGCTCCGGCTCCGGCTCCGGGTGAAATGTCATGGCGGCTCCGGCTCCGGCTCCGGCTCCGAGTAAAATGATCCGGCTCCGGCGGCTCCGGCTCCGGCGGCTCCGGCTCCGGCTTCTACTCAGTACATCCCCTATGCGATCAATTAAATACGGGTGGAAGAAAAAAGACGATGGGATTGGTACACGTTGCTTCTGTATTTGTATAACAAGGCTATTTTGAATACCACATTGTTTCACGCCTTCAACTGTCAAACCGAACTAGGTAAATAATTGTTTCCTCTTAAGAAAAGGAGCCGGAGTCGCCCCCTTTTTTGACGGCTCCGGCTCCGGCTCCGGCTCCGGGCTATATTGTTTCACGGCTCCGGCTCCGGCTCCGGCTCCGGGCAAAATATGCCGGCTCCGGCGGCTCCGGCTCCGGCTCCGGCTCCGGCTCCGCATCCCTGGATAAAACCGTACTTGTCACTTCGTCAATAGACAAACACAGTTCAACACAGCATCTCAACACAGCTTGCAACCGTCGAAAACTACGCCAAAATATGGCTAGTGTTGATGATTCAACGTCAGCTGTCCTGCTCAATGACTCCTCCACTATCAAGGTCTGGGGCACTGGCAACCATAAAACTCTCAACTTCAAGTGTTGCGCACCAGTCCTAAAATGTCTCGCCCTAGTGCACTGCAAAGACAACATAGCGCGACTTTGAGCACCAGCATCGTGCATGACTCAAGACTAATCCTCTCACTGACCTTATTCTCTTCCCTCCCCACTCGTAACTCATCCCACCCTTTCCTCTCCTCTTCTAACTCACCGCACTCCCCCTCCTCTCTCCCAACTCACATTACAGGTGCGCAGCAGCGGCCGGCGGCTGTGGCGGCTCGAGCTGGCAGGCGGCAGCGGCGAGCGACTAGCGCGGGGTCGGGATGGCACCCAGGCTGCCGAGCGACGCGCCCGGCCCCGCCAGCGAGCAGCCACCGCCACAGATGGTGAGCTGCGTGACTTGCTCGCTCGTGGCCGGTTACTCTGCCGGGTCCTCATCGTGCCGACATCTGCCGGGCAGGGAGGGTGGAAGTCAGGTCAGAGGTCACAGGGAGAGTTGAGGGTCAGGCGATCGGTTCCATGCAGTGAGCTCCCTGACAGGCCCTCGTTGATCGAACAATTCGAACATCTGTCCAAGCAAATAAAGCGGAAAACAGCTTTGGAATGTCTCACCGATATATTGGCGGCGGCCGGCTACATACCGCACCGCCGTCCACAGGCATTTCGCATGTCTCAAGCTGGCCAGCCTTTCTGCAGAGTGGCATTCCCTCACGCGATTCTCCTATACACTGCACCGAGCACCCACACTCGAAAAGGTTACGACAAGGAAAGGCTAACCAACAACTGGGGAGCTACAAATTTTGGATAAGTTAGGATGCGGATCCACTCAGCAGACAGAAGATGAACGGCAAGCTGGGTAGCGACTGCGAGTATAACCCTGGCAAGTTATGAATCACGGAAAATTGGGAGGAACCGAAACAAAATCCGGTCGGCTCATGATCCATCGAGCCGACCGGACGGCCGGCGATATTGCGCCGGATGGTCTGGTCACTTCGTAGTTCGTGGGGGTGTTTTGCCCGCTCACCGCAGTCAACAGCTCGGTTGGGGTTGTGACTCGTGAGTCACATGGTGATTCGATAGCAGCTCAGGCGGGCCCGCCAGAGGCCCCGGAACCAAGGGGAAGGCCTGGTCTGACCGGCCTGCGAAGTAGCGAGGCGAGCGGAATAGGGGCTCTTGGAGATTCGCCAGCGAAGGGGAGTCCAGCATATCATGTAATAGGAACCTCACTCCCTGGTAGGTGTGGCAGTATGATGATGAGAACTCAACACATAGGTACGTCAAATAATGTATCTATTCTTGACGATCGTCAGTCGGTCTTACAGTATGATAGCTCATAGCTGTCACTCAAGAATCGCCGTGAATATATGTTGATCAAATGCAATGCACGGATGGAATGTGCTGTGCACACTGCACAGTACATACGCCGTTGTACTGCCTGACTCATCCCTTTAGACCGGTTTTCTTCCCTTCACAGTGGCCTCTGCCGTCCAAACATAAGGTGAATGAACAATGGCGTGGCACTGCCTTGGCATTGATATAAGCTGAGATGAAACATGTTCCCATCTGGAAACGGTCAAAAAGATAGCTAAAGTCATGGTACGTCAAACTGAGGGATAAAGTCGCCCAGCTGAGGAATATGTTGTAAAAATGACTTGATATGGGTGGAAAGGGTTATTATTGAACCGACAAGCTACGCAATACCTACAACCCGGGATAGGGGTAGATGATGACCGACAGAGACAAACAACTTGCGTGGTGTTTCTGTTTGTTTACAACAGACATAGAACCGGGTTACCGGATGCGGGAGGCGTCGATGCTCTCCAAAATGGGTTAGTTTTCAAACACAATTAGTGGGCGCATAAAATATGAATAGTAGGCCGCAATACGCAGTGACAGCCGAGCGGACATTGCCAACCGCATTCAGGAGCAGGGCCCTCACACACTGTGGCGCAATATCAGACAGCATGTAGCGGGAAAACAGCCATCACAGAGGACTGTGCCCCTGGTGTCCGCTGGTGATATGAACGCGTACTTTGTTAACGTTGGACCGAAAGTCGCGCGCGAGGTGAGACTACAGGGGAGTGAACCGAGTATCCCCGGTAGGCTGCCGCGAGTGGGAGCGTGCGCCTTTGCCGTGTCTGCCATCGACCTCCATGTACACTTAACAGCGTCATATTAAGCATGCCCGGAACCTCGGCCTGCGGGGTCGATGGCATATGTGTCCGAGTCATAAAAATGTGTCTACCTGTGATCAGCCACATACTGCTCCATTTGGTTAACTCGTGCCTTACTCGATGTGATATCCCTGCGGAGTGGAAACACTCCCTCGTCAATCCCATCCATAAATCCGGCGATCCTTCCAATCCCGTCAACTTCAGGCCCATATCCATCATCCCAGTTATATCCAAAATAGTTGAGCGAGTGGTGCAGCGACAGCTGTACCACTACCTCACTATCAACCACCTCCTTTCCGACACCCAACACGGCTTCCGCACTCGCCATTCCACCGAAACGGCACTGGTCACCATTTCGGATCGCGTTCTCCTGGCTAACGATCAAAATCAAATTTCGCTCCTCTGCCTGCTTGATCTTAGTAAATGTTTCGATGTCATAGACCATTCTAAGCTTCTTCAAAAACTTCAGTTACACGGTGTGGACACTGCATGGTTTGAGGCGTACCTGCAGAACCACACACAGAGCGTCAGCTTCACTGATGTCTCTGGCAACAGGCAGACATCAACCGCGCTTCCGAACAACATGGGCGTTTTTCAAGGTTCGGCACTAGGTCCCCTCTTATACACCGTCTTGTCAAACGACCTCAGCCTGTTCGTGCCGGATGCGACCGTTGTCCAGTACGCGGACGACACCCAGGTCATGGTCTGCGGCAACAGGACAGCCCTGTCAGATCTGACTGAGCGCATGGAACAGGCCCTTTCCTCTCTCGACCTCTGGTTCCGCGCAAATTCTCTCAAGGTGAACCCCGACAAAACTCAGTTGATAGTTTTTGGCAGTAGACAAAATCTGCGGAACATCACACCTTTCGGCGTCAAATTCCGCGAGCGTACAATTCAGCCCGTCTTAGAAGTTAAAAATCTAGGGGTGGTCTTTGATCGCCACCTGTCCTGGGACGCCCATGTGCAAGAAATTACGCGCAAATGCTTCGGGATCCTCATTGGCCTGTCGCACATCCGCCACTATCTTCCGGTCGAGGTCCTCCCCACCATCGTAGCCGCCCTGGTGCTCTCCCACGTCCATAGGCGCGGGAGCCGGGGGGGCAGTGGGGGCAGCTTGCCCCCCCAACTCTGGGGCCGTGGGGGCGGTGCCCCCACAGCTTTGAGACGGAATACCACACCTTTTTTGCAAATGTTTTCTTTTTTGTTGAAAAAGCCGAGGGGTGAAAAATAAGTGGCCTAAAACCGGTGAGAAAACTAGATTTGGGGGTACCCTAGGTTAGTCTCTATTATGGTGTGCCCCCCCAGTCGGAAAGTAGTTCCCGCGCCCCTGCCCACGTCCGCTACTGCCTCCCTGTGTACGGCAACGGCAGCCGAAAGAATCTAGACAAGATTCAAAAGGTGATTAACTTTGCTGCGCGTGTCGTATCAGGTCGAAGGAAGTTCAGCCGTTCAGCGGACGTCAGGGCGGCACTGGGGTGGCTCGATGCGGAGGACCTATTTAAATTTCATACGCTCGCATTACTCCACAAAATTTGCATGCATCACACACCAGTGTCGCTTTCATCCTCACTCCAAACAAACCGTGAGGCACGAGAACGGAGCACTCGACATGATGATGACCTGCGTCTGCCACGTGTACGGACGGAGACTGGGAGGCGCCGGTTCTTGTACCGTGCACCGATGCTGTACAATGCCCTCCCAGTGGAAATGCGCACGATGACAGTCGCCAATTTTAATCACGCTCTCAAGCGAGTTATTAGCACGAGGGAAACATAGGAATGCGTGTTTTACTACTAGTTACTTGCTGTCGTCGTCATTATTGTCTTATTTTAGTTTTTCCCTTTTTATTATGCCCGTTTTAGTTTATGTGCATGTGGAAAGTGTGAATGTCTTTTTATATCACTGCATTTCACAACTTGACTGATGGCAAGGAATAGCCACTATGAGTGGATTTGCCTGAATAAAAATTGGTATTGGTATTGGTATTGGTAGTAGCCGCACATGCACCGTCCACCACCCCGCTCTTCTGCCATTTCGCTGAACGCGTACAACACCGACCATTCAGTCAATCGACCCACTATGCATGACGTCACACCACACATATGACGTCACATGGAGCGCGTGCCGAGTCTCGGTACCCTGCGCAGGTCGGGACGGGGTCGGACGGATTTGGCACAGGTAGCACTCTATGTAAACAGATGGGGCAAGAAAGGACCGTTCAGAGACGCGCGATACAGGAACGGCGAGAGCGATATATAGAGCACCGCTCGAAGGACTGGAGGAAGAGAGAAAGAGAGAGAGAGAGAGAGAGAGAGAGAGAGAGAGAGAGAGAGAGAGAGAGAGAGAGAGAGAGAGAGAGAGGGGAGGGGAGAGAGGGAGAGAGAGGGGGGACGAGAGCAAGAATCGACTACAGCGAGATCGCACCATGGTTTTGCGAAATTGTGATGTCCATGAAGCGTGAGGTGTAAGAAAAATAAAATCAATATGGTTGGCTTTCTAAAGATAGTTAAATAACTCTCTGCAGCGTGGTGGAGCTATTCCAGTCGTACGTGCACCTAGCACGCCGACTATTGCGAGCAGCTGTATCAAGTTGCACGCTAAATTGGTTCGCGTCGTCTGATGCCTTCCCATACAGTTTCCTTTTTATCACATCCTTCCTTCTTAGTCGTAGTAAGAACCATCTCTAAGTTAGGAAAGCCCGGCCCAAGGTCGCCGACCACAAAAAGCCCGACCATCTCTGGGGGCCGCCGAGAATGGCCCAGTATTGATCCAGCCCGTACCCGCCCCAGCCCCACCGCGTACTCCAGAAACGTCGCCATGACCCCGGACACACGAACGGTTGACTATTCCACGGAATGGTCAAATGACGGCATTGTTTGACCGAGTGGCGTCATTGTCGGCGAATGACTGGCCCGTCATAAAAACAAGTTGGGTGAGTGATAAAATCGACTGCCACAAAAACATGACTGAATCATACAAATGAATGTGCAAGTCATCGTGGAACTCACACCCAATGGGCAAACCTCGGTATAAGGTTTCAATATCAGACAAATTTGCAGCCTCCTCGTGTTAATCCCGAGAAAGGATGGCATAGCGGAAAACGTAGACCAAAAGCGACAAGTCCATCCGCATTCCGCAGAGCTGTCACGTTAACAAAAACAAGCGCACCTGTTTGCGTGGGCGGCGGCCCAGATATGCGGGCAGGGTCGCGGAGGGTCGGACGGACCAATCGATGGTGTGTGACCCGAGCCGTCCGTCGGCCGCCGATACCGGCGGGAACGATCGACCCGTCGGCGGCGGCCGTATGCCAGTCGGGACACGCCGTCCCGCACCGTGGGTGGTGGGTCAGGTCAGCGAGTCGGTCGGGTGGGCGGCTAGGGGCACAGGGGGCGCGGCGACGGGAAGGTGGGGGGGGGGGGGGGGGTATCAAAAGGAGACTCGTGGGACTATCGATGGAGAAGCTTATAGTTCCCTTGATAGTGAAGTACCTAAATCTGTAAACAGCTAGGTAGACGGCAAACGTCGCACGCTTAGAGCTTATCTGCACTGTTGCACAGATTGCACGGTGAACAATGTTTTGTGACAGATCAAGCAAACTTAGGACTGGCTAGAGCTTAGGCTGTTGTTGACGGTTTATGCGGAGCATTTTGACTTGGAAATCATATCATAGGACAAAGAGGGAGACAACTAAAAGCCAAACCCAGATAAAAATCGCAGAACCCTGGATTAATATTCAGCTCGATCAGTTGGAGACAAGCCGTATCAGGATTAAATCCAGAGGTGACCCGTCTCGTCCTTCCCAGTCACCTTCCTCGATTGGTGTCCGGTTAGATAAAAGGGGCGATAGTAGGAACACCAGATAGATGTCCTTAACGAAGCGAGATAAAAGGACAGCCAATTCGACGCCTCCGAATTTCTAATAATCATGTCGATAACTGGACCAGGTTTTCACATTACATCAGCCGACAGAACGAGCACAAGGGCAGTCTAAAAGACCCATATTTTTCAAAACTATAAAACAAAAGTGACCGGTGTAGGTGATTACAAACACAAGATGCGACCTTTATCCCACAAAAACCTTATATCCCAGTCTCACGACAGGTACATACATACGACATGATCCAGATCGCATGTTTATTGCTCGTTGCATCAGACGAGTCGGCAAGGATTAGGAGCGTACTCCGTGACCTTCCTGTGTGGAACGTTAATAAAATAAACACTCTTGGATGTATTTATGTCTGCAGACAGACACGAATAAATATGCGATCCCGTATGACACCGTGCACTTTGCCGGAATGCCGAAACGGATTGCAACCAAAACAATGTAGGTGGGTTGATGAGCCAAATTATGAGTGGCTTTCATCGACAGTGAACGAGACGAATTAAATACCGGGTGGCCCAGAAAAAACGTTCCCAACTTTAAATCAATATTTCTCAGAAAGTGATAAAGATACAACATTGAAACTTCGAATAGTTAATGCGGCACACATTTTCAGTAAATGGCGTGATTTTCATGGTGTTCGGTAAATAATTTTTTAAACGGTTCGTGTTTCAAGCATGCCATGTAAAAATTACTTTTTTGCTCCGATGTTTACTAAAAAATGTGAGTGAACGGGTCACTTTCATGAGTTTCCCCCGCGGCACCGCGGCCTAGAGCCATGACTTCTACTGGCAGCTAGTCTCATTGATGGTTCGGGTCTCAGGATGACACATTCCCTCAGGCAACCACGATGGCTCTGTGCCAGCGGCATCGGAAGAAGTTTCCAGTTTTCTAACCGTCTTGTGGCTCAAATGCTTTCCTGGCTGACATTCATGGGAAAAGGTAGCTTTTCAACCAGTTTTTTTTTGTCATCTGCTGGCAATGTTGTTTTTTCATAAGCTATTCTGTGGTTTTCTGGCACAGGAACCAGTCTGCTTTAGTTTGTTTTCCTTATCCGGTCGATTTACTGTTTGATCTACTGAAAGGAGGGTAATCAGCAGTAATCCATGCACCGTGCCACTCCTGCTCGAAACATGATTTGGTGTTGAAACGAATGACATCCATGAGCACCATTTTGGCTCAGTATTTGAATATTTGGCACATAAGTGAGACAAAAATATTTAAAATAAGAACATACGTGTTGGTTTCATTCACGTGCTCTATTTTTTATTTTTTTTTATAACATGGGACGTCTAACCCAATCATCACTATTGTTTGACATCGGCAAAAAAAGCAAAAACGTCTTGCTTAATTCAACTCAAGATTGCCAGCTTGAAAATGATGGTATAGTGTTATAATTTGGCATACCAATGCGCAAAGAAATGGCGCAAACTTGATGAAAATTTTGGCTCGTTATTTGTACTCGTATTTGATATATCGGCCTCCAAAGTTCGGAACGTTTTTTCTGGGCCACCCGGTATAATGTTGTCCTTTGACCCAGTCCATCATACAGGGTCGTGCCCTAGTCAATAAAAGAGGAATGTGTCCCACTTTCTAGTACTTTTTGGCCTAGTTTATACCCATACTTGCGGTAGCGAAGGTTGAACCTTCGCTACCGCAAGTAGTGGTTCGCTTCAGCCTACGCCAAATCCCACACCTTTTCTCACGAACATCCGAATTTCCAACCTTTTCAAGGCTGCGGTTTCAAAGCTCCCGATTCTCACCGACCGGCGGGAGATTTGAATCTCGCTCCCTTCAACCCCTCATTGGTCCAGGGCACCGGGCCGGGCCGGACTGGCCCGAAAAACGCCGACCGCCCCCGGTAATCAGCTGGCCGAAAAACCGGCAGCTGGCGTCCGCCGGGCCCCCACCGAGCACGAGGCGTCCGAGGGAGGCTTCTCAGGGCGCGTGGCTGTAGTGGATCGTTCCAGGGAATGAAGAATGATCATGAAATGCTCGATTTGCAATGGGGTAGATAGATACCAACGTCGCTATGATCACTAGAGGCTGCAATCACAACGCTGAGAATATCAGAACTCGCTGTCTCCAGGACGCTAAAGCATTGTAAAGAGAATAGGGGGTGTGTCCAAAGTCTCAAAACATCACTTACAAGCATAATATTATGTCGGGTAAGCCCTAAAACACGGACCTATTTGAAGCTAGTCGGCCGCAAGATGAGAAGCTTCTGGAAAGCAAAACAGGCCGGCCGCCAGCGCGGGGAGGGGGCGGGGCGGGGAGCCGTTCGTCGACGTACCGCGCAGTTGGCCCGGCCGGCCGACGGCGCCTGGGAAAAACCCCGCCCAGAGCTGCAACGATAGACTCAACTACAAGCTTTTAAGGAAAGAACATTGCGGTAGAGAATTGACTCAATCTCTAGCTTCGTTCAGTTTCCGTTGAATCTGTCACGCAAGGCGCTACTACGCCATTCCCGCCACATTCCACATGCCCCGCTTTCGCGCGCAAACCCGGCCCGAAACCCACGTGACTCCCTTTACGCAATGGAAAGCTCTGCCAGCCTCAGCCCAGCGTACTCACCGACTGTTCTCTCGCAGGGGAAGTCCTCGGAGAGTTTTCTCTCTTGATTGGTGGCTGCCTTAAGGGCATTCACACGTAGGTTGAGTTGAACGTGCGCACGTCCGACCTGCCCACGCGCGGCTGACGCCACAATTGTTTGGCGCGGCCGCCGCGCGTTCCGTATTGATTCTCACGGCCGCCGACCGACCTCCCCCGCCGGCCGCCGGTGTGGACTCGTCCGGCGCGGCGTTGTAGATGGCGCTGCGAGCGGTGTCGGCCGAGGTCGTCGCGATGTAAACGAACGCCGTCTGGCCGGGCCGGCACCCCCGGGTGGGCGGGGCGGGGAGGGGTGGTGCAACTTGCACGTTGCAGAGCGTCTTTAGCTGACCAGCGGCGCGATACCTCAAACTCCGCTGGCTCCCAGTCCTGAGGATGAGAGGATGGGTAATGAATAGATATACCTCAGGATCAGCTGCTTCTGTCACGCTCGTTCTACATACAAAGGGAGGATAGTTCAGCATTCCAAGGCAGGATTCGAAAGCAGTGCTTTACACTTGGCTAGAATACAATTAAACCGGCATGGCTTTTTTGCTTGATATAAATGCAAGAGTGGCTTCAGGGAACGAATAAGACCGCCTCACGTAATTGCGATGTCGAAAGTCCCGGCATGACTCACGTGTGCCTACTTGATACATTTTCTCCCTATAGCTCACATTCTTACCTATTCCCAGGACCCAGTGAACCGTAACGTACTCCATCCCCACGTCCCATTCATCCCCTGCTGCTTCCTGAAGCCCTCCCGGCGCTCGGGGTCGGTCGGCGGTGCCCCCGCCGCGCTGACCGCTCGGGCCGCCGTAGTCCGGTGTGCTGGGGGCAGCGGCGGCCGGCCTTGGTCGGACTCCGTCCGTCCGTCCGTTCGTGCGGGGAGGAGGCGGTGGAGAGCGGCAGAGGCAACACAGGTTATGGGCGTCTACTGGCACCCGGCCGCCACACGGCGACAAAGAAGGGGAGGAGGATGGACGAACGGAGGAAGAGAGGTGGACCGATAGCCGCCCCGACGCCCGCGGGGCCGCCCGGTAGCTGGGTGCGGCCGGGGTTGGAAAACGGTCACGGTTCCGGTAAATACACTGAGATGGTTTGATATGCAAGTTCGTTGGAATGGACAGGGTAGGTATGCAACAACGGCAACTTTGAAAACATGTTGACATGCAAGAGAACATTTTGATATGGTGGTAGGGCGTGGTGGGGGTTTGAAGTAATATGAAAATAATAAGCGCCAGTTACGCTTCGGATGAAAATATAATATATAAACACGGCGGGGAGTTTCACTTTCGTCACAAGTAAACATTGCAAGCTCGCTTCAACTGACTGTCTATGGATGCAATAATAGCATGCCCGGCAGTAAGGCAGTCGTCACCGTCAGTGGCACCCATCCAACCCGCGCCGCGCCGCGCCGCTCACCGGGCCGACGTCCGAGGGTCGAGCTGCACCTGAGGAGAGGGGAAGGGAGGAGGGGCGCTGGCGCCGGGCCGTCGGGGCTGACGGCGGCGACAGCGATATACCATCAGTCGACCCCGGGAGAGTCCTGAGACCGGTCTGGTGGGTTCAAACCGGATCGAGGACCGACACACCTCCGCGGCCGGCCAATAGGCGCCCACCGCCGGTAGGCAGGCTCGCCGGCCCGGTGGGGACGGGTGCCGGGTACCGATGCCGGGCCCGATAGCCGTCCGTGGCGCGGGCAGACGCCCGTCACCATTGCTAATCGAGGCGGTTGGTATGAAGGCTGCTTACCTAGGCGGAGGGGAGGGCGGAGGGAGGGAGCGATGGTGATGATGGATGGCGCTTTCTACATGCATACATGCTTTGCTTTTATGTGCGCAGTACAATGTATTAAATTACGCAAGCGCTAGACAGCGGCACCTGCTGACGATCGGAGAGAGCTGAAGACTGTTCACACTATCCTCTCAGAACAAATTTTGAATGTGCCCATCTGAAGCATCATCATAATCATTATTGCGACAAAACACACCAAAATCTGAGAGTTGTGTGCACGCCCGCAAACAGCATACTCTTGCATGTTGATTTCAAACGTTTAAAACTGTTGAAAGCTCATGAACAAACGTTGGCCCCAGATGAACAAACAGACAAACAACGCTGCAAAATAAGTGCCTGGAGTCCATAGAAATACTGGAGTCAGTGTATCGAGGCGAAGCACGGCGTACCCGGCTCCCCGGCGGACCGGTCTGTAATCTTTGGTCACAGCTGGTCGGAGAAACCGGTCCCGGCACACAGCCGTCCCTGAGGTCGGGCGGACGACCGAGCGGGCCCGCGGGCCGACACCCGGCCCCGGCGACCCGGTGGTGGAACCATGAAAGTAGGTGAACAGGGGCACAGGGACTGGACCGATGGAGGATCAACATGACAACCTAACAGTAAGGGATTCGAATAAAGACTCGTGACAGGAATTTGCAAATTTCAAACGTCTGAAAAACTGCATGGTAAACGTCTAAGACTTGTACTTCTAGAGTTTGGTCACTTTGTGAGTTTTTTATTGCAACCTCTCTGAAAACACACCAATCATCGCATAATTTAGCCGGCTTAAGCAGTGTACGTGAATGAAAACGGAATTCAGTCTGCAAACAGCTGAAATTGATTGCACCATAGTCGTGCACGCTCCGGCCAACAGCCCTTCAAAACTACCGAATTGAGGGCACCCAGTTGTATATGAACGGTGCATTTCGACACAAGGTGGATTGAAGAGTCATTGGTACGTTACTGAATCATGCGGTCATGAAAAGAATTTGGTAGCTACTAGCCAGCCAGCCAAGGCCAAGTCAAGGCAGCAATTACATCAGGGACAGCAGCAAGGCAGCGACTAGAGGGGCGGCATCTGTCGGAGAGCCAGCGCAAGCCGTCTACCGCTAGATGTCAGTAAAGAGAGCCAATGCACTTGGGTGGAAGGCAGTTGACTTGAGCAGATAGCGGGGTAAAGCACCCATCAGAGCCTCTCACCTCAACACAGGCTGTGCAGTGTGAGTAGGTAGGCGAGGAAAGGATCAGTCGTCGCATCGGACGCAGCGGCGACAGTCACAGGCCGCGTTCTCTCGTGCGAACGTCCTGAAAACGTTGCCGTCTGGTTAGTCGGTGAGCTAGGATATGGTCCAATCGTAGGCAGTTATTCAGGTAGGTAACAGTAAAAAATATGAGAACCGTGAACATTGTTAGCAGTTTATGATGGAATATTTGCGTCGTATGTTAAAAAATGAAGCATATGCAGGAATCAGCAGCTTGATTTTAAAATGAACACTTTGCGGTTGGGATGCAGCGTAGAAAAGTTTGGATATGCGCCAAGCAGCTCGGAGTGAAGGCACGAGAATATCAATGCATCACCATCCGAGCACAACACTTCGCTAAAAGTCGGTACTCTGTAGCACTGTCAGCAAAACTATGGTATGATCAAATACAGCATAAATAAAAAAGAGCATATTTGAACAAACCTTTATTGGGTCTAAGATAAAACGTCTTCAAAATACCAAACTCCTATCTTTAGCTGGATCTAAATGGCTTAGTTCTAACCTATACTGAAGAACAATAAATCCGTCGCAACGCACATAGCAACAAGCCGTCATACATTATCACACAACACTTACAAAATCTCATTCGTCGCATACCCAGCACAGATAACCGCCCAATACAGATAACCGTCAACCATCGCTTCATCTCAATCTCCAATCCACTTTCTTACAGCACCTCTCATGCGTGCAGCCCAGATCACCACACGACGTGTCATCACACGAACACACCAGACACATCCTCCAGCCCTCCCCTCCCCACCGTCACCGCTCAGTCCGCCCAGAAGCCGGTCGTGCTCTCTCGTATGGTGGCCGCGTTATCCCTCCTCGAACGGGTCACCGCACTGGCGTCGCCCTTGGCGCGCAGCCGCTCGGCCTGGTGCCGGCGTTTTCGGTGCAGCTCGCGCGCCAGCCGCCGCTGCAGCACCTCTGGCGCGATGGTGGAGGCGGCTGTGCTGCGGCTCCGCTGGCTGGCAGACCGCTGGATGGCCTCGTTCAGCTGGCTGCGCGCGGCCGAGCGCTGCTCCTCGAGCCGGCGCTGTTTGAGTCGCTTCATCTCGCGGCGCCTCGCCGCTGCTGCTACCTCGTCCTCGTCTCCCTCTGAGGAGGCGGTTCCCTCCTCCGCCGAGTCCTCCCCACTCCGACCGCCGCCACCGCTCGAGTCTAGTCCAGAGCCGTCTCCGTCCGAGCCGTCACCCGTGTCCGAGCGCAGCGCCACGCGGGTGGCCGAGTCGAGTGGGAACGCCTGAGGCCGGTCCGGCTGCTCCGAGACCACTCCCGTCGGAGTCTCCTCCTCCAGCGACTCGACGGCGTCCTTGAAACTGTCTTCCTCACTCCCTTCCTCCGAGCCGGCTCTTTTCTGCTCCTCCTCAACTCGGCTGGATTCCTCGTCATCTGACTCCTCTCCCGTCTCCGAGCCGTCCTCTTCCTCGCCCAGCCCGGCCACCGTGTCGAATTCTGCGAACTCTTTGCCGTAGCCGCTGGCTCTGATTTCTGTGTCCAGATCCGCCGTCCGAACCACCTCCGAAAACACAGGGTAGTCGTCGCTCTCAAACCGGAAGCGTCTGGCGAAGAATCTCCTCAGACACTCCACGTCCCGCTGAAACAGGTGTTCGGCGTTCGGGTGTGACGTGCTCACCATTTGTGGGAAGTCGATCAGGATGATGTGCTCTTCATCAGTCACCATCAGGTTGAACTCGTTGAAGTCGCAGTGGATGACGCCGCACTCGGCCAGCCGAATCATCAGCTCCATGCACTCGCCGTAGAGCCGGCGAGGGTCGGAGAGCTCCCTCAGCTCGCACAGCGGCTCGCCGTGTACGATCGACATCAGCACCGCATGCCGATTTTGGTAGATGGGACGCGGCACTGGAAAGCCGCGCTCGTGGAGTGCCTTCATGTAGGAGAACTCTTTCCGTGCCGACAGCGTCGACAGGTACAGCCAGGACATGTGCGAGCGGTTCTTGTGGTAGTCTCGCAGCAATTTCAGCTTACGGAAGGACGTACGCCCGAGACGGTGGAACTTGAGCGCCAGCGCCTCGCCGTGTGTATCGTACGCCGCGTACACGTCCGATTCCTTTCCGGTGCCGATCTGATTACCGAAACCGTCAATGACGTTCTCAGCGACCATGCTGTGCAGTGCGAGGAAGTCATACCCACTGACTGTCAGCCTCAGACCGTCATAGCGCCTGCCGCGCTCATACGCCAGCAGTTTTGTGTTCTGTAGCTGTCTGATAACCTTCTGAGCGCCACCTGAGCGCAGGTTCGCCAGTGAGCAGGCCAGGGGAGTTGACACCAGCTCATGGTTTCGCATGCCCATTTCCACACCCTGCAGGACGCGAAAGTCCTCCTTGGACATGTAGCGCAGGATGCCCACGTCTAGACGACCCATTGTGAACGGGTGGGCGGAGACGGACGGACGCAGTCAGATCGTCTGTTGAAATGTTGGAAGTCAGTTAGCAAACAAACACTGAAGGCAGAAATTGCAGAGCAGCCATACAGCTTCAACCCTTGGTGTTATGTTCACAGAGTTGCAACAAAATCCCAAAGTGACTGGCATAACTACTGACAAGGAACACAAAATAATGCAAATATAATTGGAGCGTGTTCAAAATATTAGTCTGATGCCTGGTGAGACTGGGTCTGGGAGTAGCCAGGTAACTGCCAAGTGCCAGGGGTATATAGGGCCTTGGTGCCAGGCACCCAGGCCAGGTAAAAATTTTATTTTTGTTTTGGTTGCATCTTGATTTTGATTTAAAAACAAATTTTAGCGAAAATGGAAAACATTTTGTCATTCCAACTTGAACAAAACGTGGGTAATGTTTCCACTCCACGTAACACGGTTCGATGTAATTCAATCCAAGGCCATATAGGTTCTGTTGAAATGCTTGATTAGATCATGAACGTACAAAAAGGTCAGTTTGGTAGATAAAAATATAAAAATTCACAGCATCCGCAACCCACGTGCGCACTCGAACGTCTCTCACGTCTCTCACGTTGCAGACTGTTTGTATCAAGGATATGAAAATAAATTTCTAAAAACACAGCTACAAAGTTTTTGCAAATTTTTCTTCGCTTCACCCTCACAACTTGTTTCTGATGGGTTTTAGTTTAACCATTTCATATTACCATCATATTCATGTTAAATCTATATATTTTTTAACATAATGGAAAATCCTGTGAAGGATGGGGAGCCTGGGGTACGCTGCGATAGATGTCATGACTGGTTTCATCCCAGCTGCCAAGGGCTTCCCAAAGCTGCAACTAGAGCTCTCGAGAGGTTCCAGGCTCTAGCTTGGCTCTGTGCAAATTGCAAGACAGACCTAAAGAGAGGGAAGGGAAAGTCTCTGTTTTTGCAATCACCGTCCACCGAGAACAGGCTCCGTCAGCTTGAAGAGACTGTTAAGAAAAACTCAGAGTTGTTCCTGGACTCGGTAAAGACCCACGAGAAAGCTATCAAAGACCATGCTTCTCTGCTTGAGAAATCACTGAAATCTATCGAGTCACAGACATCCAAGCAGTCCCAGATGCTTGAAATGACAACCCAACAGCACAAGGTGTCGTACGCTGAGGCAGTCAAGAGCTCTTGCTCTGAGGTAGCCCAGGTAGTGAAAACCCAACTTGCTCAGCTCCCGAAACCCAGCCAACATGACGAGCGCAAAGCCGCAGTCGACCTGTCAAAGGTACTTGACACCCACCTCGACAAAGAAAGAAGGAAATCAAATCTTGTTGTTCACAACCTTCTGGAGCAAGCTGAGGGCTCCTTCCATGAGAGGTCTGAAAAGGACCTATTGCTGTTCTGTGAGATGGTAAAAAACGAGCTGAAGATAAATGTCAGGGCATCCAAGTCATTCAGGGTTGGCAAGGCAGTGCCCGGTAAACCACGGTTGCTGATAGTAACTCTGGATAACCCAGCCTGCAGGCAAGATGTACTCAGGTGTGCTCCTCAGCTGCGACACTCTGTGCAGTACCCCAACATCTACATCACCCCTGACTTGACCCAACAGGAGAGGGAGGCGAACAGGAAGCTTAGAGACGAACTGGCATCAAGACGCAGAGCAGGTGAAGTAAACCTAAGGATTAAGGGGGGTAAGATTGTCTGTCTTGGTCAGCCTGCAAACGAAAAGAGCACAGCTACAGACGAGAGCAGAAAGAATGTTGACACCCCAACCGAGGAGCCTGGCAGCAACGTCTCAAACTCTGTGCCTGCTCAAGCTGCCTCTGTCCCGCCCCAGACAACGAAGGCAGCGCCTGCTGCCCATACCAATGAAGGTCAGAGCACTTCAAGTCTGTCTGATGCAGCAGGGGAGTCTGGCGGCACCCCTCGTTCAGGCACAGCGGGCCACCCCGCCCAACCAGATAACGTGCGCCAAGGCTTTTGACTAAGTCACCCAAAACGGCACAGCATCAAGGGTCTGACAGTCCTGTACACAAATGCGGACCAGCTCACTAACAAACGGGATGACCTTTGTCTACTGATCTGCAATGACGAACCAGATATTATTCTAATCTCCGAAGTGATTCCGAAAGCCCAGAAACATCCCATAGCTCCTGCACTTCTCCACATCCCTGGATATACTATGCACCCCAGCTTCGACCTGTCCACACCCAGACTGGGTGCTAGTGGCAAGAGAGGTGTATGTATCTATACAGCTGACAGACTAAGTGTGTTTGAAGTGTCACTAAATCACTCGACAGTGGAGCATGTTTGGGTGGGCCTGCCACTCACTGGGAGCGATCGTCTTCTGTTGGGATGTGTCTACAGAAGCCCGTCTGGTGCTCCGGAAGAAAGTATGCAGCATCTCCAGGATCTGTTCCAGCAGGTATGCCTGCTGCCATTCTCCCACCTGCTCATTGTTGGAGATTTTAACTTCCCACACATTGACTGGGAATCGGAGACAGCACCAGCACAGCACATTTCACACTCTTTTCTGGACCTGATACACGACTGCCTCCTCTTCCAGCACATTAAGCACCCAACTCGATATCGATTGGGAGAGACCCCATCTGTCCTAGACCTAGTCTTTACCAATGAGGAGGGCATGGTTACAAACCTCCAGTACCAGCCTGCGCTGGGAAGTAGTGATCACCTGGTCATCCGGTTCACCCTTTCCTGTTACACAGATACTGTCACTTCGCTCCCCCAGTGTCACACTGTCACTGATTACGAACAACTATCTGCTGTGCTAGGCTCCCGTAACTGGTCGGAGCTAAATAGCATGAACCTGGACGACGCATATGCAACCTTCAAGGCATGGTTGTCCGAGGCTATGGCACAGGCTTCCACAAGGAAAAAGATGCGGCCCAGGAAAAACATTTATATGGACCGCAGAGCTATGCAGCTGCGAAAGAAAAAGAAGTCACTCTGGTGTGAATATCAACGCACGCTAGACCCACTGGACCATGCCAGGTTCACACGCTGCAGGAATGAGTTAAGAAAGCTCACAAGGGATCTGCGGAAGAAGTATGAATCCAATCTGGCTGGTAAACTGAAGGAAAATCCCAAATCTTTCTGGAGATATGCCAGCACAAGACTCCGCACTAAGAACAAAATTGAAGACCTGGTCAACGAATATGGAACATTAACCTCCTGCAACCAAGAAAAGGCTGATGTTCTTGGAAAGTATTTCAGCAGCATCTTCACCCACGAAGCCAACGAACCAGTGCCCGAACTAGACCTCCGATGGGATGGACCTGTTCTCGACGACATCGACGTTACAGCGCAGATAGTGGAGGGAAAACTGACATCCCTCAGGACAAGCAGCTCACCAGGACCCGACGCCATACAACCCAGAGTCCTCCGCACTTCAGCAAGGACCCTCGCGACGCCTCTGAGCACGCTTTACAGAAAGTCTCTGGATGCTGGAACACTCCCCCCAGAATGGAAGACCGGAGAGATCACGCCGATCTTCAAGAAAGGCGATCGTCAAAACCCCTCAAGCTACCGACCTATTACTCTCACGGCCATCCCCGTCAAAGTTCTTGAGTCGATTGTCCGAGACGCCCTCCTCCAGCACATGAGCACAAACGGGCTGCTAAACAGCGCTCAGCACGGGTTCCTCCCCAAGAGATCCTGCGCCACCCAGCTGATGGAAGCGATTGAGGAATGGAGCTCTGCTCTAGAAAATGATGAAGCGATTGACATCATCTACCTGGACTTCGCCAAGGCCTTTGATTCCGTGCCACACAAACGCCTGATTCGCAAGCTGTATGCTTATGGCATCAGGGGAACCCTTCTCAACTGGATCGCGGCTTTTCTGGTCGATCGCCGACAGAGGGTCGTGGTCCAGGGAAGTAAGTCCCCTTGGGCACCGGTGACGAGCGGAATTCCACAGGGATCGGTCCTCGGACCTGTACTCTTCACTATCTTTGTCAACGACTTGCCCTCAGAAGTGTCCGGCTCGGTTAAGCTATTCGCCGACGACACGAAGCTCTACCGCCACGTGCCTGGGCCCAGCTCAAGCCTCCAAAGGGACATCGACGCACTTGTCCGCTGGTCTGAAAAATGGCTACTTCCCTTCAATGCCCAGAAATGTAAGGCGATGCACCTCGGCCACCGAAACCCAGGCTTCTTGTACACCCTGAGTGGTATCCCGATTCAAACTACAGAGGAAGAGAAGGACCTCGGCATCGTCATAGACTCCCAGCTCAACTTCCACAAGCAGGCCGCCACAGCCATCGCGAAGGCTTCCCAGATACTGGCCGTTTTGAGGCGCTCATTCGCCAACATTAATGAGTTCACACTGCCTCTGTTATACAAGACGATTGTTCGCCCTCTCCTGGAATACGGAAACACGATCTGGGGTCCCTTCCAAAAGGTTGATCAGAAGAAGCTTGAACGTGTGCAACGGCGTGCAACAAGGATGGTCCCCACGATCAAATGCCTTCCGTACACCGAACGACTCCGTCGACTAGGATTGCCATCCTTATACTACCGGAGACGCAGAGGTGACATGGTGACGGTTTACCAACTGTTACACGGTGGTCTGGCAATATCACCTGAAGTCTTCCTGACACGGAGCGACTCGGACCGCACCAGGGGCCACGGGTGGAAACTCAAGAAGCCCAGGGCATCGAAACTCGTGCGCAGAAACGCATTCAGCATTAGAGTTATCAACGACTGGAACTCTCTACCAAACGCAGTGGTATCAGCCCAGTCCGTGAACCAGTTCAAGGCCCAACTGGACAAACACTGGCGCGACTCGATGTTTGACGTCCCAAACCCCTAAGAGCCCAGCCTGTATCCCGTTACGAGCTCGATGTGAGCGGGTTCCCCAGGCCTAGTGGCCTTTTATCCCGATCACCGCAAAGGAAAGGAAGGAAAGGAATAATGGATCATTTCAGTCTATTCAACTGTTAAACAATGCGTTTTAAAATACAAACTTCCCAATGCACCGACACAGCAGTTTAGGCGGTTTGGTGCTTCTTCTTTTGTCACAGATCCTCTTGTAAACGTGTTTTCGGTGCATTGGTGAATTTTGTAAATTGAATTGGTGGGCCCCGGAATTTCACGCCGGGGGTGAGGTTTTTATTTTTTTGATGAACGTCAAGTGTACTTGTAATCTTCAATGAAATTGAATGAAAGTGCTGATTTCGGCTAGTTTCGCAACATTTGTTCCTCTATTTTTATTTCAAGTTTGAGTTTGAGTTATAATAACGGGATCAGGATAGCAATTCAGCATTTCTGATTTCAGCAGGGATTCACAGCATTTCAATTTCTTAAAAAGTTATTTAGGTATGTCTCTTGCTCCAGTTCAAACTATTCTGCCCTTACTTCCTAGTTCTATTGCCATCGTTTTGAATTGTATCAAACATTTCATGCCATGATGCCTAGCCGAGAAGTGTATTGATACCTATGACTGTAAATGTATGCTAATCTGACCTTTTGATTTTTTGCACCTACCTTTTTCAGACAAAGATGGCAACACTGAAGTATGCTGTGGGTCTGGCACCGTCGGACCCAGACAGCCAGCCGGTGATGATTCTGGGCCAGATC